GTGTGTGTGTGTGTGTGTGCGTGTGTGTGTGGGGGGGGGGCGCATGCACGCATTTACGCAGGGGAGGGAGCATGCAAAGTGTAGCGCACGCGCTGACTGGAGGCGGGCGCGCGGGGCGAGAGGGACGGCGCGGGCCCCTAGGTCCGGCCTGGGCCGCGGACTCGCCTGTGCGGGGTCCCTGTCTGCGCGGCGCTCGTACAGCACCTGGGATGCATAGGGCGAGTGACGGCCGCGGGGACAGTGAGGCTGGTGGGTGGACGCGCAAGGAGAACATGCCCACGCGCCGGCAGGCTGCTGCGGCGGAGGCGGCGGGGCACCGGTGCCAATAGAGGCGGCGCGGCAGTGGTGGCAACGGGGCTGGCGCGGGGCCCACCTTGACGGCGGCCGGCGCGCTGAGGTAGAAGCCCTGGCGAAACGGGGAAGGGAAAGTATGCATGACGCGCACGCATTATAGGTAACCCTGCCAGGTAAGTCCGTGAACTCAGGGCAGCAGTATAGCGCCATCCTGCCGCCTGCGAGGGAGCGGGGGGCAGCTCTGCAGGGTACGCTCGACCGCGCCGGTGCGCTCACCTGGTAGCACACCCCGGCCGGCCCGCGGCTGAGGACCCGGCTCAGAACAAGCTCTTGTATAAAGTGCGGCCCGGCTATGCCCACGGCGCTGCCTGCCAGGGCCGCCACGCTGATGGGCCCCTGCTGTGAGGCCTGCGCGCGTGAAAAGAGGGAGGCGGGGGGAAAGGAGGGCGGGTGTTCGGCCAGGGTCCGCTTGGCGTGCGAGGAGCAGCATCAGCATCATCATCACCATCTGCATCATCATCATCATCATCATCATCAGCAGCAGCAGCAGCGGGCTGGAGGTGCAGACGCGGCGCTGTGCCCCCGTTGCACCAACAGAAGCAGCGCGTGCGACAGGCGGCGACCCGTTGTGCTGCGTCGCTTCAAGCTCGAGGCATCCTGCAGGCCCACCTCTGCCGAGGCCGTCGCGAGGTCCTGCAGCCGGTCAAACTGCCCCCCCAGCTTCTGCAGCACCAGCGGCAGCACGGCCGCCACCAGGCCGCTGGATCGGGTGCAGGCAGGGAAGGTGGGGGAGTGGCTGCGTGAGGCTGTACAGGGCGTGTTGCATCCAACACGAGCAGGGGTGGCTTGAGGCATGCATCACCCGCAGGAATGGCCCTCGCGGATCAGTCATCGCTGTTGCGCCCACCCCCCAACAGTTCGGGCCCTACTTGATGGTTTCTTGGAGCTGGGAGATGTCGAAGGCGGTGCCTGTTGTGAAGTAAAGCCCGCCCAGCACAGAGCTGCCTGCGCAGGGCAGAGGAAACAGCGGGGTCAACACCGAGGACGCCAGCACACGCAGTGCACACACATCCATGCAGGAGTGCAGGTACGTGTCCCGAAGAGGCCGGGCGCAGCCGCAGCCCAGATTGGTGCAGATGAGAGGCTGCCAGGACGGCCGAGCAGAGGCCAGGCAGCCGGCACGATGGGGGCCCGGGACGTCAGCGGGACTATTCGCAGGCGAGCGCCGCGCGGCGCACCCGAGGCGAGCGGCGCGACGACTAGCGACGCCACCGGCAGGCGCCTCGAGCGCGGCATGAAGACGTCGCGCGCGGGGGGGCGGTCCAAGGACCCGAGGTAGCGCGCGCAGTCCGCCAGGACGCGCGTCCGCCGCGCGCGCAGGGCGGCGGCGAGCAGGGTCTCTGACAGCGGCAGCTCAACGGCCAGCAGGCCGCGCGCGGGTGAGGAGCGCGCGAGGGCGCCGCCGCCGAGGGCGCCGGCAGCTGCCGTGGTGTGGGCCGATGCGAAGTGGCGCGGTGATGAGCATGACTGATGATGGCAGGCGCGGTGGGGGTGGGGCCGATGCAGACGGCGGCCAGCAGGCGCCAGCAGGTGCTTTTGTCGGCACGAGAACAAGCGAGGCAGGTTGCTTGCTTGCAGGGGTACGGGTGGAGAGCCTTAGGCCCCTCACCTGGGGCGGGCACGCGTCGGTCCCTCTCTATGAGGACCATTCTGGGCTGCTGCGGGTCCACCGCGCCGAATCGGGCGCCCATGGGGACGTTGGTAGCCAGGAGCGTGAACTTCACGACCTCCTGCGGCAATACAGGGCACGGCAAGATATGGACGCGGCAGGGCGAAAGGCCGGGTGAGGGTGTCATGCGCAAAGGAAGAGGCTGTGAGTATGGCTGTGCCGGAGTCGTGTTGCAGATGAGATCAGCCCCAGCTCAAACTTGCTTGCAGGGCAGATGCCATTGACCCGACAAGCACAGGCGCCTGCGGGGCGGCATCCACCCAGCACCCGCACCTCGAGTAGCACGCTAACAAAAGCCACGGGGTCGTCGGCGCCATCCAGGCTGATAAGCATTTCGCACAGACAGGTCGTCTGGGGGGGGGGGGTGTGCGGGGGGTTGCGCGGCGCAACTCAGCTCCCACACAACCACGCACAGTGCCCTGCCCCCCTTGCCGCCCGACTCACCCCTGCCGGCAAGGCGGGCTCAGCAGGCACACGCCAGCGCCACGGCCGCCCCGACCGGCCCCCACCTGCTTGTTGCGCAGGTGCTGCAGCAGCGCGCTCGCGAGCGTCGTGAGCAGCGGCTCCCATCGCGCGTCGTCAAACGCGCCCGGCGCAGCGGCCGCGACAATCAGGGCCCCAAGCACGCCGATCCCCGGGGCCGCCATCGGCACTGCCAGGAAGCTGCAGAGGCCCGCGCTGACGTGGAGGGCCTCAAAATCTCGAGGGAGCGCGTCGGCCTGGTGAGGGTTGGGGCAGGGGAGTTGAGGGATGGGGGCGGGGGCGGTGCGCGTGGGGCATGGGTGCGATGGGCGGGGTCGCCGGGGCGCATGCTGGAGAGCAGCTTCCTGCTGGTAATCAGTCAGGCTGCCTGCTCCACGACACAACACAGTCCATGCCAGTCCAGCCCGTCATGACAGCAGGCGTGCGGGCGCAGCACAGCCAGCCCCATCGCACCTGGGAGGCCGCCCCTTCAGGCGGCACTCGCAGGGCCAGCGCCCCCGCCGGCGCCGCTGCCAGCCGCGCGCCGCTCCACTCGGGGCCGCGCATCACGGGTCGCTGCTGCAGCAGCTCTGCGCCACTGCCGCTGGCCGCCAGGAGGACGCAGGCCCCGGGGCGGCCGCTTCCATTGCTGCCGCCGCCGCCGCTGCTGGCGGCGCTGGCGGCGGCCGCGGCTGGCGCGCAGGCGGCCGACTGAGGGCTAGCGCTCTGCTGGGTGGTGCTCGCGCTGCCGCTGCTGCTGCGCCGGTCGGGGACGACGGCGACGATGCTGTGGGGGTAGGGGTGTGGAGGGGGATCCCCTGCCGTTGGCACCAACCTCGACCAGCGGGACCAGTGGTCCAGCAAGCTCGCCGCCACGCGCCGTTCACGCATGCGCGGCACGCAAAAAATTTCGACTTAGGCACTGTACAACGGATTGGCAAGCGGCGCGGCCTTTTGCCACGCGGCTGCCTTGCATATCTGATCATGCAGCCTGGCGCGTCGCGTGTCGCGCGCCACCTGCAGAGGGCCACACCCAGCCGCTCGGCGACGACCTCGGCCGCCGCACCCAGCGCGGCCACGGGGGTGCTGCTGACCCCACTGAGCAGCTGCAGCACTTCTGATGCCTGCAGGCGTGTCGCGCCGCGTGCCGAGCGCGCCGGGGACGGCGCCAGACCGGCGTGTGGGGGGCGTCGGCAAAGCGTGCTGGAGGCGTGGGCGCAGTGCCAAGATGCAGCCGTGCGATGCGGAGGAGCGGCAGAGGCCTCACCTGAATGACAGGGCCCAATTCGACCTGCCCCACTGAATGAGGTGGCAGGCCATGGGTCTCCCGGGGCCCAGTGGCCTCCTGGGGCCTCACGCCAGGGCGCGACGCTGGGACCGCTGCGTGCGATCCGCTCCGCACCACGACGCCGTCGGCCCCAGGCCGTTGCGCAGCTCGGCCTGGCCCTCTGCCGTCGTCGTGTCGACTAGAAAAGCACTGGCCCATTGTCTAAGCTCCAGCTGCCTCATTTGATCATGGGGCAGACCAACAAGCAATGTGGAACAGATAAAAGCACAACATTGACGGATAGCACACTACTCAAATCTGAAAGGATTGAATGCAGTTGGCGGGCGCCGTCGGGCTGCTTACGAACTCAAGAACAGCGAACAAACCCAGCCACTGAAAGCAACTCCTGCGGGTGGCGGCATGATTCTCCTATAACTATCCGTTCCATGGTGCTATGTTCAGTCTACGGTGTCAGGAACCAGACGGTTGGGTGGGCAGTGCCAGGGCCAAAATGACAAAGGCAATTACTGATCTCTGACAATGGTTCTGAGCACCCTGAAGTGTGCACCCTTCGTTCAGAGGCCAACATAGGGCCAGGATTTTAGATTTTTTGGGCTGCTGGCTTGCTTGGCTGCTCGACTTGCAGCCAATGAGCCAGAGAAATGGGATTGCATGTACGCCATTCGACACTGCAAGTGTCAAACCCTGTTCTGAAACAGAACATTTACCAGATCTTCCCTCAGGCGGGAGACGGAAGCAAATCAGTTGCTCGTGCGGATTACATATTGCCTGTGGTGTCTCTAGATCTTACCAGGTGCTAGGCAAGCCTGCCTTGGGGCAGTCCAGGACTGGTTGGTTCGTTGCTGCTTGTCGCCATTGCATCCAGTCTGCAACAACAGCAGGGACACAATGGTACAGGACTAAACACTTACAAAAGGCCCAGCGTCGTGGCAGGTGACTCATGTTGCAAGTAAACACTGCGTAGACTTGTGGACGGCGTGAGTCGGCCATCCCGCCAGAACACGATTGTATGCCCATTTGCACGGCTCACTAGCGACGTCAGCTGACAGGGCAGCAGATTCACGGCCAATTTGCTGACATGCATGTCAGCCTTGCATAGCACATGGCTGAGAATTCACACCCTTGCCTTGTCTGCTGATTGCCATGAGTTCAACAAACAAAGTTTACTCTTTTCACAAAACCTGGTGACGTGAGGCTTGTGCAGCCGCCACGTGCACCTCAGGCCTGAGCTGGAGCTTTCAAACAAAGCATTGGTTGAACAGATGACCTGTCACTTGACGCCAAGCCTGCAGAGAAGAAAGTCAACAGATGTGTCGTGCAGCCGGTCACGCAGACGCATGCATGGTCCATAGCCCTGACATAGGCCAACATGGATTCGCACAACCAGTCCACAAAATGTGTAGCACCATGTGTAAGGCACGTCGGCATATAAAACGCAATCTGAGCAGCGCCAGCAGCAAGCGGCAAGGACATTCTTGGAGCCTGCAGCCCTCGGTGCGTGATTTGGAAACCTCAATCGCCCTCCGCACACGCCAAAAACACCCAGTCTTACTTTGCACGTCGCTACTCCAGCCGCCGCATTGGCAGACCTTCAACGCGAGCGCCCGCCCCGTCACCAGCCAGGACCATCTCATCCGCCTCTGCCGCCGCCGCTGCGCTGCCCCACCGCCCGCTGCCCTGGATGGCCAGACCCCGCATCATGCGTGCCAAGCTGCTCATCATCCCCGCATCCTGCTCGCCGGCGCCGCCGGCAGCCTGGGGAGCGCCGCCGCCGCGCTCGGCCTCCAGGCCGCCGGGCAGCGGGGCGCTGCCAGTGTACGCGTTGTTGCGCACCGCGAGGCGCAGCAGCGCCGCCCAGGAGTCGTCTGTGATTAGCACCTCGGGGTTGCCCACCACGATGACCAGTGCCTGCCGTGGAGAGAGGGCCATCTAAGGTGAATGGGTGGCATGCTTCTGAAGCGAGGGCGGTGGCGTGCCAAACTGGCCCCTACCGTTCCGATGCACTGCTGTCCTGTCGGACGGATCTCCAAGGGCTGCCACCCACGGTTCGCCCATGGAGGAAGGCCTGACAGTCACCACCCCTTGCCAGTCACCGGTGCATCGGGCCCAGCTACGCACCTTGGCGCGCGTGACGGCGACGTTGAAGCGCTTCTCGTTGCGCACAAAGCCCAGGCGGTGCTTCAGGTCAAAATCCACGTACTCCGAGGTGGACCGCACCTGGTGAATTTCAAAATGCAGAGGTTGCCTGTCAAACAGCGGCACTTTTGGCAGGCGCCACACAGCACGCATACAGGGCAGCATTCACTTGTGCAAATCAACTTTGCCAGGAAACATGGGCCCGGCAACATGATTTCTTGGGGTGGCCGTAACAACACACGGGACGGCATGGACACCTGCGTGCACAGCCCTCACAGTTGAGATGATGATCACTTTGCGCTCCTGCCCCTGGAACTGCTCCACGCTGCCGACCTGGAAAAGAGCACACATGGAAGGGGCCACTACCGCTTGAGGTGGCACGGCTGGCAACCTGGCATACAACGGCAAGCTTAGGTTTGTGCAAAATGCAGGAGAATCCCTTGAAGGCAGCCCGGACTGCAGTTGCATGTGCGCGTATGCAGATGTCCCCGCTCGGCGCAGCCCACCATGACGCCGTCCATGCCCTTGGAGCTGAAGGCGCGGCGCAGCTTCTGCACCTGCATTTGGGCGGAGGGCATGGGGGGCAGGCAGTGCTGAACAGCACATGCAATCTCCGCATTTGTGTGGCTATCAAACCGGGGAGACAACTTTGCTGGCTGTAAATTGGTGCGTAGTCAGGCCATGTGTGAGACATTGCAAAGCTGGGGGCTCAGGCACAGCGGCGGCGGCAGAGGGGGCTCTGGCGCAGCGACGAGACCACAAGCAGCCGAGTCGAACTGGCGAGGATTACCTGCTTGTGGTACGGGGTGACCACGCCGATGTCTGCCGTGCTGATGGGGTTGCGGCGCACCGCCCGCAGCTTCTCGATGTACCTCACCACCTAGCGGGGGTCGATTTGTGCGCAAATGCATCCCATGAAAAGGGTCGTACTCTGTTCAACCCAGCACCCTTCCCGTAGCAGGAAGCCTGAATGAGATGACTGTCGATCAAAGCAACGATGAGGGGCTGCTGTTGCAGTCTGGACAGCGACGCAATAGTACCTCACAGCCTCCCCAAGTTGTCTCTCGGCTTGTCGGCCGTGGCTTCGTTTGGTAGTACCAAGCTGACAAATGTACAGTGCTGCACCCTGCCCACCTGCAGCACCTCCATGGAGTTGAACCACGAGGGCGAGTTGCCCTCGCGCTCGTCCTTGCCCACCAGGCCGTGGAAAAGCAGAGGGAACCTGGGCGGCAAATGAGAGAGCAGCCCGCAGCAGGCGAGGTTGTCACAGCGCATCCACAGCCTCAAAGCAGGCCCTTGCAGCATGGGCGGACACAGGCCGCCTGGAGTACGTTGAAATTGCATGGAGCCTCTGTTTCGTCAACTGGTGGCCCACAGGGCGCGCCCACCTCTGGTTTGGCAGCTCAAAGCCGCTTTGCAGCACGCTGTGTGTGACCACGGGGTCTGCGCACGCCACTAGGCGGCCGCCGTAGAAGAGGGTGCTCGGCAGCGTCAGCAGGTCGGGGTGGGAGCGGTAGTTGCGCACCAGCTGCGTAATGAAGCGCGCGTCGTAGCACCCCTGCAGCAGGCACAGGTTGCGATGGAAAAAGAAGCGCTATTACGTTACAAAGTACGTTGTCTCAGGGGTCTAACCTGCGTGTTTGCATGGCGTGGATATGGTGGCGACCTGGCCTGTACTGCTCGCTGCAGCACACTCGACCGTGGCAACCACTTCCGCCTTCAACGGCCTGCCCATCACTTCCCCAGCTGTGCAATCACCTGCGCGTCGGGCGCGTACGGCGCGCGCCCCAGCAGCCGCTCCATCCAGCTCGTCCCGAGGCCCGCGTCACGCGCCAGGCGGCTGTGTATGATGGGCCCGAGCTGGCGCGGGTCCCCCACCAGCACGACGCGCGTGTTGGGCCCGGCGAGCCCCGCGATGCCGGCCAGCGCGAGCGGCTCCTCGGCGTGGCCCGCCTGTGAGGTAAGTTCATTTTGCCCCAGTCCAGCGCAGAAATCGTGGCTTGGGTCAGACGGGGTGGCAGGTCCAGTCGTGGAGCTGGAAACGTGTAGCTGACGGGCAGTGTTGTAGCTCCTGCTCCCAAGGACCTGCTCCACAGTGCGACACGTCCCTCCAACACTCACCTCGTCCATGAAAATGTGGGTGAACCAGCCGCTGAATAGGCCCTGCGCGTAGATCTTGGACGCCATCACGCAGGTCGCCACAACGGCGCGCTTTGACACGACTTGAGCGGTCTCAGGCAGCTTGAAGTAGCCGCTGCCTGCCCCAATCTGGTCCACGTAGGTGCTGATGTCCATCACCTCCCTGTAAAGGTGGATTAAGGATGGAGGGTAGGAAAAGAATGGGAGAGCATGGCGGTTGCAGGGGTGTGGAAATGTGGAAGGGAGAGCGGAGTGGGGGGTCATAAGTGAAGGCTTGGTCTGCTTGTCAAGCTGCAAAACAAGCTTGCCCTAATGTGGCCTTGATCACCAGGAGAGTGTGCACACTCTGCCCCATGCGCCCCTGTGTGGCATTTGCCCCTGCCTTTCCCAGCCCTCAGACCGAATGAATTCTTGGCATCCCGCAGACCTCATAAATACTGCACACAATCCCCACCCTCACAGGGCTCTGCAAAACCCAACGAGCAGCACTGCATCAAAGGAACATTGCTTCTCATTCAACAAACCTGGGCACGTCGCTGCTGGGCCTCTGGTAGGCGTTCACTCTCAGCATCTCGCTCTTAGGGCGCCCCGCGGCCGGCCCCATGAGGCGCAGCGCAAGCTGGTCCGCGGCCGTGTTGGAGGGTGCCAGCAGAAGCACGCGCGCAAACGGTTGCGTGCGCAGCACCTGCAAGCGGGAGCAATCATGGAGTCAGGTGGCATGTTTGCACAGATCATTGGGATGCCATGCCCCGCTGAACCCCTGATGCAGAGAGACGGCGCCAGCGAGGCCCATACAGCTATATGCCTACTTCCGGGACTCACGTCCTTCACTGTGACCTCCGTTTTGAGACGCAGTGCGCATCACCAAAAGCGCACAATCGTCAACGCAGACAAACATGAAAATCAACATGCAGCACCTGCACCGCCGCCTCCACCAGCGTCGATGTTTTGCCGGTCCCCGGCGGGCCAAACACCAAATAGGGCGCGGGTGCGTGGCCGCCGCGCAGCACGGCCTCCACTGCCCCGCGCTGCTCCTGGTTGAGGAAGGGGTTGACCCAAGCCACGGCCTGGCAAAGAGAGGACATGAGCGACAAGGTTATTTTTCACGATTGCGCGGGAACAAAGGCAGGGAGGTCTCGCACGGGCCACCATCAGCTTTGCATTCATGCATTGCGTGGCTGCCATCATCCCCAGGTCTGAATCACAGCAGTGATCACCTGTTTGGCAGGGTGGGTCGCCACCCTGTGGGCCACCTCACACTGCACACCCATGGGCAGCAGCAGCTGCTCGGGCAGCTGCCTGTACTGGACCAGGGATAGGGCCTCGTGCATGAACACAAAAGATGACCGCTTGATGGAGAACCGCACGCGGCACCTGGAGCCGTCAATGTGGGCGCTGTGGAAAGCCGACGAAAACCGCAGCAGGACCTGCGACAGCACGTTACCCGCATTGTCCCTGACTGGTGTGAGTTGATGTGGGCTGGGCGCGGCAACGGTGGGGGGTTTGCTACAACGGCATGCCAATCAAGTGCAAACAAGCAAGTCAAGCGATGACAAAGCCCTGCATAGGCCTTGCTGACACCTCACGTGAACAAACCTCCCCTGGCTGCTGCTGCACCCAGAGCTGTGACAGCCGCTCCTGCTGCCGCAGCCGGCGTTTGCTGCCATTTTCGGTGATCTGCCAGCTGAAAGGCAAGGAGGCCACGTGCATGATCACAGCAGGTGCAACCGCGAGCGGCCGCACAGCCGCGGCCGCTTGTTTTGGCAGAATCGTCATCAACTTGCCAGGCCAGCCCACCTCATCCAGGCGCACAGCGTGGACGTACCCCTCCCACTCGCGCCGCTCGCCGTCGCTGCGCCTGACGTACAGCCGGTCCCCCAGCATCACAGAGGGCCGGCTCTCCGCCAGGCCAGGCACCTGCAGTCCAAACCATCACGCATGCAGCCGCAAACAGGAGTGGTGTGTCAGGGGCGTCATCAGGTTTGAGTGTACAGGACGATATTTCCCCTCTCACCATCCTTCGGCATGAAGCATGTGGTTGAAACGGAATGCAGTTGTGCCCTCTGCTGTCGGGATGGATCGTGCCTACGGAGTGGTGCCTGCAATTTGCTCTTCAGAAAACACTGGCTCCTCCTGCTGGCCCAGCGCAGCACTGGCTTCCCCTGCTCCCCTGCTCTGCGTATCGCACCTTAAGCGCCAGCAGACGCCCACCGGGCGTGCTCTCAAGCTGCGCCCCGTCTATGTCGTACTGCCTTACATCCCGCTCCTGCTGCAGCTCCTCCAGCCACACCATCAGGGCCATCTGAGAATTCAAAGAGGCGGGAATGCCGAGGCAGTGACCTCGAGGATAATCAAAAGCTGCGCATGCGCCTGGTGCAATGCCACCCCATGCATGCAGCAATTCAGCAAGGTCTATCCCCACAGCAACAAAGTTCAAGCGCTGCACACCCGCTTGGCGTGCAGCTCCGCGCCGTTGGCCGCTTTGTCCAGCTCCTCCTGCACACGCCACAGCTCCCCTGCCCTGAGGGCAGACCGCAGCCAGTCCGGCACCTCGTGGGCGCCAGGCGGGCGCGCCCAGCTGCTCCTGTGGCGCGCCGGCTTCTCCCCCGGCACGATCTGCGTCGACCGGGCAGAACAGGCAGAACGTGGGCATGCAAGTTGGCAAGGGTAGGTGAGGCAGAAGCGCCGTCATGCCTGCTGGACGACGACAAAAAATCGTGAAAGTTTACTATGCCTACTCATCTCGCCTCTGGCTAGTAAGCGTGTTCGCACCTCCAAGCGTGCCTCATTGGGCGGCGGGCGCTTGGGCGCGTAGGGTGCCGACGGCGCCAGCTCCCGAGCGATGGGATCGCCGCCGTCGCAGGCTGCTGAGAGCAGGCAGCTGACGCAGAAGCTGCCCAGGTCAACCACCAAGAGTGAGTAGATGTAACCCAGGCCCTTGGGGGTGATTGTGACGGCCACCGCACGTGACCCCCCCGGCTGCGGGGGTACAGTGGTGCGCCACGCATGAAGAGCGTTAGCACGGCACAGAGCGGTGCTTGCGTGGTTGAACTTTACCCCAAGCGGCACAGCTTTGGGACACGGCTTAATTTGTAACGAGCTCCCCGGGCGCTCACCCACAGACACTGCCCGTCAGCCATTGACGACACCACCACGCCTGGCACGGCCCGCATCTGGGACACCGCCGCCACGCGCACAACGGCATGGCCGCTGTTGGTGATGAGCAGAGATGCCACTTTGACCTGCCCGGGCGCAAGCCCTGTGATCTCTGCCGGCTGCAGCGCCACCTCGACACCCTCCTGGCTTGCGCCCAGGGCGCCGCCTGCCGCATTGGAGCGCTGCAGCAGCGCCGCCTTGTGGCGGGCGCCGCGGACGTGCGCCGCCTGCGCGGCCGCGTTGGGCGACCGCGTAGAGCACAGGCTGCACCAGAGCCTGCCCTCCTCGGATGCTGCCTTTGCCTGGTGCGCTTTGCCCTCCAGGTGCTGCTGCAGGTTAAAGGCGCTGCTACAGGAGATGCCGCACAGGCCGCAGCTGAGGGAGCCTGCATTGCCTGCGGCCCCAGCCGCCGGCAGGGTGAGGCAAGCCACGTACTGGCCTTTTTTGAGGTTGATCACGGCAAATTCGTGGGGACGCTGGTTGCGCACGAACGTCTTGAGCCCCGAGTACGTCTTGCGCTTGAGCAGCTGGCCGATGGCGCCCAAAGCGGCGGGCAGCGATGCACCTGGCTTATCAGGGTGCGCAAGCTGAGCCTCGTAGCACAACTTGCGTAGTGCGGCGGCACATGCGTCCTCCTGCCCTGGACATGCCATGGCCCGTGGTGAGGGATGAGAGGCGCGTCGGCGTGATGGCCGCTGGTGGCAGCAGCAGATGGTCCGCCCTCAGCTAGGGTCGCAGGTTTCAGCTCTGCTACGGCTGTGATTGTACAATTGACGGTTTCACGACGCTGACTCCATTTTACTGTGGATGCGCAGCACACCCGTGAAGGGCACGGGTGAGCTCGGGGCCAACCGTAGCCGACCAATTGTTCAATGAACGGGTGACATAGCGTCGAAACAGCCGTGTAAGCGACAACAGCCGTCTGACTGCTGAGCAGGCACACCTAGCCAAAAGATCTCGACCCACCCGCTCACCCCCACGCTGGCACCCACGCACCAACACACACAAGGCCCCAGTAGACGCCAACCGTGGCGACTCATAAGCAGCAGAGGCATCAGGGCCAATGGTGATGCCCAGCACTACAGCTAGGACACGAGGCCTGCCGTGTCATGTATGGGAAGTCCAGATGGGCGTCAACTCAGCACCGGCTCCAGCCAAGCGCCAGCCAAACCACTAATGCAGTGCAACACACACGCATGCAACACACACGCATGCAGTGCACCTCACGACGTGGGTGTGGGATTGGGGTGTAGTGCCTGTCATGTTGCCATGCACGTGCGGAGCACCATTTTTGTCAAAGTGCGTGAGAGCTGAACAGACACAGACATGCAGCCGTGAAGCTCTTGTCGATCTTGATTTGAGGTACGTACTGGTATGCTTAGATGTGCACAAAAGCAGTGACAAATCAACACGGTTGGATGCCCACATCCCATTCGCGAAAGATTTCAATTGAGACAAGCATGTGATCTGTGTGACAATCATTTGCAAATTTCGCCCCGGCAAGGCCTACCCCCAGGTTGCCGTCAGTAGGATGGCCCCACACGGGCAAGCCCTGTACAACCCCCTGATGATGCAAGACCACATGAACCTGAATAATGCTGATTTCAAGCTTGATGCGTCGTGACCGAGAGACAGTGCAAGTCTCGCATACCGTGAGGTTCAGCGCTGCAGGAGCGGTTAGTCCAAGCAGCTGCGGATGCCATCAAGAGAACACGCTGCACAGCGGGTACGTGAGCCGGGAGGGCTGGCGCCCGTACGGTGCCTGCAGAACCGCGCGGGTGGTCGTGGGGAGGATCATGTGCTATTTTCTGCACGAAGTCAGCTGCCTTCTGCTGTGAGTGCATGCTTGCAGCTTGTTGTGGTGGTGTTCCCGCCGCCCCAGAGTCAACAAAGTCAACAAAGATCTGATCTCGGCAACGGTCTTCTCCTCACAGCAGGTATACTGATAAGGTTATAGGTCTTCAACGTCAATGATATGGCCCAGGCGAGGCTGTAGACCGCGGTAATGACGATGAGCCTGATCTGAGTTCGTGCGGAACGCGATGTTCGGTGATAATGCCCAGACGCGTCAAGTTGGAGGGAATGGGTCTCCTACCTCTCACGGGCTGCGGCAAGGCCTGTACTTAGGCGCGCAGGTGCGCGGCTGCCTCTGCCGCTTCCTTCGCATTATTTTGTGCTTTAATGCATACATATATAGTGAGAGATTCGCATAGTGCTGCAGTTGGCTCCGCCCGGCCGGATCGAGGCACGGCCGCCCGACCGCCAACTGCGCCACTCGGCGCACTGGCGTCTCACTGCCAACACACCCACAGGGGAAGCAGATCCCTAGCGGCCGGCTCACACGCCATGAGGGCACAGCAGACGGTAGCGCAGCGCCGTCTGGTCTGCCGCGGCTTCCGATCAAGGCTTTTGCGGCTGCATCGACGCCGGACACTCTGCAAGTGCCGATCCCGCCGACCCGAAGAGCCGCATCGGGTGAGCCAACAGCTAGGTCACCCAAGACAAGAGTTGGCTCATGTTGGAAATTTCCAGAACTTGTGCAACTGCCTTGCGAAATGGCTTGTGAGTGTTTGCACTATCCCATCATGACCACTTCTTAGCCATGCCATGCTGGCCTGCTTCGCAGCTACCAGCACTCACAGGTCTGGAGGCCGAGACAGCCCCCAGGCAGTCGACGTGCCTGTATGGCAGGAGCAGCAGCAGCAGCAGCAGCAGCAGCAGCGTGTGGCGCCGGCGATGTGCGGCGCCAGGCGCATGAGCTCAACGGCAGCTGAAGACCGACTGCCGCCGCTCGCTCGCATGCGCACCCCGCCGCTCGGGCACTTCAGCGAAAGCGGGGCATGGCAGCGATTAGGGGTGTTACGGGACACGCCCTCCCCTGACGGTTTCGAGCAGAAGCTGCAGCAGCAGCAGCAGCAGCAGCAACAGCAACAGCAGCAGCAGCAGCAGCAGCTGCAGCAGCAGCAGCCATCCTGGCAGCCATCTGTGCACCAAGCCCTGCAGAGCGAGCGCTCTACGCCGCTGTCTGCCCTGCCACGACGAGTGTCCCCAATATCCCAACCTATGGTCAGGGCGGCGTCTGCGTCCCCACAGCCCACAGCATTGGCTATGAATGTTGCTCCAGGAACAGCAGGGCCATCACAGGAGGCTTCGTCCATCAGCACTGCCGGCGGCAGGGCAGCTGCGCCTCCCAAAGCAGAGCACGGCCGCTACAGTTCGGCGCCCGGAGCGCCAGCCCAACCCCGGCCCCCCGCTGCCAACTGCGCCGGCTCGGCGGCAGCAGTGGTGCTGCCCGTTTCGCTTGTAGATGCCGGCGGGCTCGGCGAGCAGCAGGAGCAGCAGCAGCAGCAGCAGCAGCAGCAGCAGCAGCGGGGCCAGGAGGACCCGTACGACTCGGCGGCGGTGCGGGCCCGCACCCATGCGTGGGAGGGGCTGCTGCAGCGGCTGCAGGATGCGGGCGGCCAAGATGGGGAGCTGACAGAGCTCGTGTACCTGAAGCACGCGGCCCCAGCCGCGTTGCCCTTCAACCCGTTTGACCTGGAGGTCGGTCGCCAACAATATCTCGTGACCCCCCCACTTGGCATTCAAATTACATTGAATGGTGACGCGCGGATGCTGTGTTGCAAGTGCATCCCCCATAAGCGGACTGAAAGCCCTATGCGGCTGCTAGACACAGCGCTGCGGTCACGCTGACGCGCACACGCGCGTGCAGGTCGCCACACACAGCGAGCTGGCCCAGCTGGCGATGTTCATTACGCTCAGCGCGACGGGCGTGACGCGAGCCACGGCGCGGCCAGGGGCGCCGCCGGCGACAGAGTTCCTCACGTTGGCCCAGTTCAGGCGCGAGGCGCGGCTCCATGGGCGGCTGATGCAGCTCCACGTCTTCAGGTGCGCGGACGCGGTGCGCCTTGCAGCAAATGGCAGGCGCTGACTGCAAGGAGGACTGCTGCTGTCCGGCAGGCCTGCGATGTTTGTGCGGGCTTGCAGTGCAAGCGCCTGCACCACGCCCGCCCATCTCTCCCAGGCGGTTCCGCGAGTGGAAGTCGTTCGCCATCTGGCGGCGCAGCGTGCACCAGCGCAAATTGGCAAGCAGCAGCGGCAGCCTCTGCGCGGGCCTGTTTGTACTCCACCCGCACCTGCGCCAGGCGCTCGTGCACGTCAGGTGGGACCGCGCGCCTTAGCTGCCCTGCATCACTTGGGGCGTTTCACCGCCATGTGATCCATGGGCTAATTTCAAGTGGCAGCTCGCGACAAGTCAAGCCTACTCATTCCGTTGGCCAGGGAGGCCTGCCTGGAGGTGGAAGCAATCCGCCTGCACCGGTTGGAGCCGGCGGCGCCCATGTCACTCGACGAACTAGTGGAGCTGCACGGCGCAGCAGCCGAGGGGGCAGTTGCAAAGCTTGAGCAGGTGCGCGCATGTGCATGAGATCCGGCTGTGCGTTGACAGCAGGTAAAATTTTTCTGCAACAACTTGATGTTGACCGGTTGTGCCCTGGGGTTGTGCTCAAACTTTTGCTGCGGCTTTCCGCATCGATGGCAAGATTGCGACCGCTTAGCTTTGGGGAGTTGTGCGCGTCGATTCCCACTGCCGCAGGTGTCGTCGCGGGCGCTAGCAGTAGTGCAGGCCGCATGCGAGGCGGACCTACAGGCGATGGAGGCTCAGATGGCAGCTGCGCCCTCGAAATCGGCGGCGGGGCTTGCCGGGCCCGGCGGCCAGCAGCAGGCAGCGTCTGCGGTCGCTCCTGCTGCCGCTGCCGCGTTGAGGCGGGCGTCGACAGGGGATTGCTGCGCTGTAGGCGAGGACAGCGCCGCCGTGTCGTACGCCGTGCAGGCAGCTAGGCGGAGCGAGAAGCGGAGGATTGCAGGTAAGTTCCGCTCGCAACAGCACTGTGGGGCTGTCCAGCTGTGCTCATCTCCACCTTGGGTGCCTCACTCAACAGGCAAGGACGGCACTGCCAACTTATAAGAATGCAGCGCTGTCTTGGTGCAAGACGGCGCGGTCCCTGCATCACCCCTCTTTTGAACGTACTACAGGTTTTGTGCGGCTGCTGGACTTCCACATCGCCGAGGCCCTCAGACGCATGGTGTTGGGCAGCCTGGCTGACATGCTGCACGCACTGATGCAGGTAATTACTTGCCGGCTGCTTCAGCTACATGTTACGTACCTCATCTGGTGTTCATGGAGTCCACTAACCGCCTGCTCCATGCCGGTGGTCAACACCTGTGCTTCTTAGGACTGCCCGCTGCACCTTGTCGTGCAGGCAGCACCCAAGGAGGAGCTTAAGGGGCTCTTTGGCAACCACCTGTACAGCAGCAGCAGCTGCAGCCTCGTCCCTGGCAGTGGCAAACCTGTCCCTGCAGTCACAGCGTCAGCAGCTGGGAGGCAGCATGCACACCTCACCAGCGCGCTTCGTGAGCCGTCGCAGCAGGAGGAAACTCAGCAGCAGCCAGGCCGGGGTGTGGTGCTGCCGGTGCTGCGCCTCCAGCTGCTGCTGCACGAGGCATCCGGCATCCAGCAACGGGACGCGCTGGTGTTTGAGCCCGCAATCCATGCGTTTGCAGACGCCCTGGTCAGCGCGCAGAAGCGCATGCTGGTGGTGGCGCGGCGCGTGCCTCGGCTGCTGCTAGCGCCGCAGCTTCAGGTGTGTCGCTTGTACGACACAATGATAAAGCAGCTGACTCCGAATCCATCTCAGCTGCCATTTGAGTGCATTTTCTGGGCTTCCAAAGGCCACTCCAGGAGCCCTGCTGCTGAGCATGCGCCTGCTCCTACGCACCCTCCTCACAATTTGCAGGCCGTCATGGAGGCACCCCCAGGAGGCCTCGCCACCGACCCAGAGGGCCCGCTGCCGGCCATGCTAGAGTCCGATGCAACTGCCCTGAGGGAGCTGCTGGCACGTGCAGTGGCTTCCGCCGCCAAGGTGGGGCAGCGGCACGCGGGCAGCATGGCGCACCTGGCGGCCATCGTCGGCGCAAACAGGTGGGCCGAGCGATTTTGCTGGACCGCGCGTTTTGTGACGGCGGATGCACGCATGTGTGTTGTTGCGGAATCCGGCTGCACCCATGGTTGATTTGACTTGTGTCATCTGGGGCTGCATAAAATCTTGGCTTGAAGCCAGATATGCGGCTGTGACCCAGCGATTTCACCCCTCCCAAACGCTTACACGCGCCCCAGGGGCGTCTCGCGTCACGGCTTGGCTTGTGAGGTTGCGGAGGGCCGCAAGGGCCTTGAGGACCTCAGGAGGTGGGGCATGGGGGCTTGAGGGGCGGCAAGGGTGTCAAAGACAGGGTATTGTGGGGGTACCCAACTGGGGTAGCAGCAGGCCTCGCGCATGAGCACATGGGTGTTGGCAGCCGTGTGCTGACTATCCACGCACGGCCATTGGGGCTGAAACGTGCAGGGATCTGAAGACCTATGCCGCGCAGCTGGAGGAGATTCGACGCCTGCCACCAGTCAGGTAAGGAGAGTTTCAAGATGCTCAAGTGCCTGCCAGCATGCCTTTGCATAGGTTTGAAAGCTTGTCTGCACACCACAGGCATGGGCACAGCTGCTGCGGTGCGGCCGTTGACGAATGCACAAGTTATTTGATTGAGACCCCCTCGTACATATCCGCTTAATAGCGTGTATAGAAATCCAAAGGAGTCCATCAGCGTAGAAGTGTGATCAGTGTAGAAACTCCAGTTACGCATCACAATTGCTGACCAACAGCCCACCTGGCGCACCCCTAATCTCCAGGCATCTGGGCATCCTGCAGGTCCACCAGGCCCGCCTGGCCGCCGCCCTGGAGCCCTCCCCCCAGCGCTGCATCTCCGAGGTGCACTCCCCGCTGCCGGACCTCGCGCGCGCCGCCTGCCGCGCGTTTGTCGCCGACGTCCGGTCGCTCGCCGACGCGGTAGCACGGCCTCCCGGCAGCGCGGAGGAGTTCGTGGCGCACCTCGAGCTCGTGAGGCGGGTGGAGGCGCGGAGGCAGGAGCTGGACAGGCGGCACGATGATGTGAGCGCTGTCATCTGGATGTTGTGATCCTGAGAGTGGGTTTGCATCGGACTGGCCGGCTATCACGTGATGGGTTTGCCATTGGTATGGATGCTCTCCAGGCCTTCAGTCTGCAACCTTGTCTGCTGGAGTGATCCTAATGCGTGGGGCTGCCCTCAAATACTGCTGCGGCCAGGTGGTGGCCCATTACGAGCTCATGTCAGAGTTTGGGGTTCAGCTGGCGCAGGAGGACAGGGAGGCGGCGGCGGGATTGGACGGGGAGGTGCGTGGATGCGGGGAGGACACACGCTGCAGATAGCGGCGAGGGGGGGGGGTGCTTCATGAGACGGGCGTTGAGGGCGCCAGAATGCTGCCGGAATCGACGTGGAAGGGCACGCATGACTGCCAAATACTGTCCGCCAAAAATGTTGAGGCTGTGGTTGGTTGCTGCTGAACGCAAGGGATTCCGCTTGGCTGGGATCGACGGCAATGACGTGGCCCGAACCCCCCTCCGTGCCCAGTTGTGGGCGCTGCGTGACGCCGTGTGGGCGGCGGAGGCCGCCAAGGAGCGGCTGGCGGAGCGCTTCAGGAGGTGGGGCGATGGGCGGCCGCACGGGGTCTCTCGCAACTGAATGGTCTTGATAACTATGTGTCAGGTTTCACATGTTTTTGAAGCCATGCTGATAGGACTTTTCTCCCGACTGCCAAGTATACTGCATCCCACCCGTCTTGAATCGCCATGGATTGCCTCAGGGAGCTGGTTGAGTCCGAGGCTGCCCTGATGCAGGCGGTCGCGGTCGTCAAGGCGGAGACCAGCAGCGAGGCTCTGCTATCCGAAAGCCAAGGTGGGCTGTCGCAGGAATCGCTGATTACAGGGCATCTCGTCGGCCGGCCGAGCTTCGCCGCGGCGGGAGTGTGCCGCTGCAATCGCTCTTGACCCCTATCAATACAACCTCACAGCATCACCAGCTAAGCTCCACTGGCTTTTGGTTGAATCCTTTGGAATCCAAGCTGACAATGTTTTATGAAGTTGCCGTTGCCAAATCGCTGATCCGCAGACGCACCTTGCATGGAGGACGTGACCGCCGACCTGCTGCGCCGCGTCCAGGCGCAGCAGGAGGCGGCCGCACGCATCAGCGAGCTGCAGGCGCTATGCGGCGGCGACCCGCCCGCATGGGAGGCCCTCGGGGAGGTGGCCGCGGAGGTGGAGTTGAAGGCGGCGCTGTGGCGCGGGCTGCGCGAGTGGAACGAGGCGTCGCACGCGTGGGTGGAGCAGAGGCTGTTCGCCCTGGACGTTCCAGGCATAGAGGAGCAGGTGGGGGAATGCGCTCAACATAATAAGGTGCTTTTGATCCAGATGAAGTGGTTTTAGATTTGGGGTTTGGGATAGGTAGACCCTCAACCATGACCCAGGGTTCAATGCTTTGACCTATTGACTAATCTACATGCTGTTTGAGCGACACAGATTTGTCAGTTGGGGCCCTGTGTTGGACCCAACAAACTCCCGCACCCGTGCAGCGTCGCCTTCCAACCTGCCTACCCAATTACATCACACCCCTTTGCCCATGCTCCCAGGTCGAGCGCGCCCACAGCCTCTGCCGCCGCCTGGAGGCCGGCCTGCCGCCCAACCCCGTCGCCGCGGCGCTCCGCGCCGGCGTCTCGAATTGGCAGCTTGCGCTGCCAGCGGTGACCGCGCTGCGCAACGCCGATCTCCGGGAGCGCCACTGGGGCGCCATCGGGGAGCTGTTGGGGGCCGGGCTCGAGAAGAGGGAGGAGAAGGCGCTCTCAGACGTCCTGGCGATCGGGGTGAGTTTGGCCTCGGGGGCCGGCGTGTGCAGGCGGCAGCTGCCGCTGCCTTTCCTCCGAGGGTGGTCCCGCTGATTCATCTGTGCCTAGCAGAAAACGCCTAGCGCCAGCGTCGTCTGGCTGTCCCTGGTGTCGAGGGTGCCCCTCACAGGGTTTGGTGCGTGACGCATGATTGGCCGCGTTCTGATTCGCAGGCGGTGGACCACAGGGAGCAGCTGGTGCAGATCAGCTACGAGGCCAGCCAGGAGGCGGCGCTGGAGGGGCTGCTCGACAGGGTGGCGGGCAAGTGAGCCTGGGGCAGGCGTCCGGCAATACGCAGGCCAGGCTTGCAGACTCAAACCCCCCCACGCGCCTTCCTTCAGGGGGCGCAAAACGCGTTAATTTGTGCCCAGTGCTGCTGGGGGCCCGACCTGTAAGTCTCCCCCCGGCGGCCGCTTGAGCCTGGGCGGCGTGCTCAATAGGCCCCTCACACCATTCCGCGTGCCAGGTGGCGCGGCGTCGAGTTTGGCGTGCGTGCCTACCGCGATGCGAAGGACACCTGGCTGCTGGCCGGCACCGACGACGTCAGCCAGCTGCTGGAGGACTCCCTCATTGCACTGGCCGCCATCGCCGCCAGCAGATACGTCGGGGGCGTCAGGTGGGTGCGCGTTTCCTCGCGTGGCTCGACAAAATGATGTCATTGTACAGGGTTTGTGGGTGTGATCTGACCCTAGGGTGGGCATTTGACAGGAATCATTCGATGATCCATGGGTCTGGATTGGTTCGGGGACGGGCCACGCCATGCGGCTGACGAGCAGGACCTCCTGGGCTGTGTTGCACTGTCCGCTGGGCCCGTCATCCGCCTCCCGCCAGGGCCGACGTCGACCGTCTTGACCGCCAGCTGCGCCTGCTGCGCTCGACGCTGGAGGCGTGGCTGGACGTTCAGCGCGGCTGGCTGGCGCTGGAGCCGGTGTTCGCGGCGCCGGACATACAGCGACAGCTGCCCGCCGAGGCGCGCGCCTTCGCGCAGGTCAGTTGAGTTGACTTTTTGGAGGGAGGCGCGCTGGCAGGTTGCTCTCTAGCCTTTGCCGCGGGCCTCAGCCGCTTGATGTCCACATCCAGCTTGTTTTCAAACTCCAACACACTCTGCCCGCTTCCCTCACAACACCGTGGAAAGGTGGACAAGGCGTTTAAAGACATCATGCGTCGCACCCACGACCGCCCAGACGCCCTCGCCGCCGGCACCACCCCTGGTGGGCAGCGCGGGGCTCGGCCCGGGCTTCAGTGCACCACACGCAGTGCTTGGCTTGCAAGGGCCCCACGCCAGGCCCCACACATGCACCCCGCCAGACGCCGCAACGCAAGACCACACCGCAGCTCGGGGCCCTCCCAGTCAAACCACGCCCGTCACCGGCCCCCAATCCCCCACTTCCAGCAACCGTCACCCTTGACCCTCTTCAACCCCGGCCCCGCGGCCTTCAGGTTGGCTGGAGGCCCTGGCCAAGTGTGGCGCCACCCTTGAGGAGGTGAACAAGGCGCTGGAGGACTACCTTGAGGCCAAGAGGACGGCGTTCCCCAGGTGTCCCCAGAGTGTCCTCTCTGCCGGCAGGGTGGCCGGGCAAACCCTGGCAGCCATTGCGTGGACGCTCCCCTTTTGCTGAGGTGCCGCAACACCGCCTCACCACCTGTGACGCCCTGCCGTTTCAAAGCACTGCCATGGGCTGCCTTGCTGGCCTCGTGGCCATTGTGTATGGCCCAACAATTGTGAGAATGGCTCGTACCATGCGAGCGCACCCCCCCCCCTTCCTCCATCCATCGTCCTTCCATCAATATGGCGGACGCGTGACCACTCACCCTTGTTCTCATGCCACCCCCCAAGGCTCTATTTCCTGTCCAACGAGGAGCTTCTGGACATTCTGGCGCAGGCGAAGAACCCAGCAGCAGTGCAACCACACATCAACAAGTGCTTTGAGGGCGTCCGCGCCCTCGACTTTGCGTCCGGCGCCTCCCCAGAGGCCGCCGCGCCGCCCCAGGCGCCGGCAGCCGCGCTGGGGCCGGGGGCGGGGGCGGCCACAGCTGCGGTGCATGGCGTGCGGCCGGCGCCGGAGGTGGTGGGGCTGCTGAGCCCTGAAGGGGAGCGCCTGGCCTTTGGGAAGGCCGTCAAGGTGGGTGTTGCCTTGCACTTCCTCTCCTTGGTTAGGAGGAGGTGCATGCTCACCTTGCCTTTCTTGCTGCCATGTTGCTCACCTTACTCGATGATGTTGTCTGGATCAACTGGTCCATGAAAACAATGCACTGCGCGTTCTGAATAACCACACACCAGGCCAGGGGCCTGGTGGAGAGCTGGCTGGGCGCCGTGGAGGGCGGCATGCGCTTGGCGCTCAAGGCCGAGGCGCGCCGCTGCGTGCGCGAATACGCCCAGCTGCCAGGGATGGCGATTGTGGGCGAAGCCTCCCTCGGCCCGGAGGTGTCCTCTGGCCTCGCCAGTGGCTGGGTAGGAGGCACTGTCAGCGAGCCTGGGGTCCGCAGCGGCGGCGGCGGCGGCGGCATGAGCGCAGCGGGCGGCCAGGCTCGGCAGGGCCGCGAAGAGCTGCAGGCTGGTGGATGGGGGCTGATGTCGCGCGGCCAGTGGGCGCTGCACCAGCCGGCTCAGCTGGCAATCGTCATTTCCAACGTTTTCTGGTGCCACGCTGCGGAGGCGGCGCTGGAGGCGGCTGCGGCCGGGGACGTCACGCGCGGGGCCGCGGCTGGGGCATCGCTCGGGGACCTCGAGCGGCGGTGCGGAGAGCAGCTGGAGGACATGATTCGGCTCGTGAGGGGCGGGCTGACGGAGCTGCAGCGGAGGGTGAGCGGGTTCCCTTTTGGTGCGATGCATGTGGTGCCGTCGTCATCATGCAGCGCGGGCCGGCTTAATCATGCAAAGTCAGCCCATCACCTTGAGCAGCACCAAGGGCTTTCAGCATTTCGCTCTCTGGCAGCAATTGTCTGGTCAAACCATTGCTTCTTGCAACCACATGCCCCTGACCCAACGCCCTGCCGCCAGTCCGCCGTGGCGCTCATCACCATCGACGTGCACAACCGAGACGTGGCCCGCCACCTGGCCGAGGCGCGCGCGGCGTCGCCGGCCGACTTTGCGTGGCAGGCGCGGCTGCGGTATGAGTTTGATCGCGACACGGACATGGTGGTGGTGCGCCACGTCAGCGCCAGGTGGGTGTGCAACTTTTGGCAACCCTGGTGGTTGTGGATGGGCCCTGTGAGTGGCAACAAGCGGGAGCTTATCCTCAGCTGGAGCCGTGCAGGACAGCCAGTCGGGGGTTCATGAGCGTTCTTGGCTTTTGATGGTGACGTCAGCCATCACACGTCACGTGCCGACTCATCGTGCTCCCGCTCAACAACCCCTCACCCGCCCGAAGGTTTGACTATGCCTACGAGTACTTGGGGGCCCAGCCGCGCCTGGTGGTGACGCCCACGACAGACAGGTGCTACCTCACGCTCACGGGGGCGCTGCGCCTGCGGCTGGGCGGCGCCCCGGCAGGTCCCGCAGGTGCGTCGCTGCTCGGGAGCCCGCTCGGCGCCCGGGCGCTGCGGGTCCCAACTCAGTCGCTCAGCCCTGCCCGCATCGCCTACTTGTATGAGCCATGTCGCAGCATCCGTGCACGCCTCCTTTCCTCACGTGCGGCACCTGCGCGCCGCTGGTGTGCAAGACCAATCATGCACTCTGTACGGCTGCCGATCGCCCCTCGTTTGACCCAGGCACTGGCAAGACCGAGACGGTCAAGGACCTTGGGAAGGCCCTGGGGGCGCAGGTGGTCGTATTCAACTGCGCAGAGCACCTGGATCACAGGCACGCATGCGCGGGGGCGGTGCTGTTGCCTGTGGGGATGCAGCTGTGTGTCGGCTTGATGACCTGCCGGTGGAGGGGGAGGTGGTGCTGTCAGCGCCTTAGTGCCGCGGGCCATGCGGGTGCTTGCAGCACATATGGCATCTCTCAATCGCCTGCCACCGAGCTCACCTCTTGTTTGGCGACAGGAATGGGGCTGTTGCACGAGTCAGCAAGGCTTCCCCTGCGCCGCGCGGTGCACAGGTTCATGGCCAAGTTCTTCAGGGGGCTGGCCCAAGCAGGGGCGTGGGCCTGCTTTGACGAATTCAACCGCATCAACGTGGAGGTGAGGGGAAGGGAGCGATTTCTGGGGAGCGCAAGTAGTCCGCAGACATCCTGCTTGACGTATGGTCTGCCATGAACCAGGATCAAGCCAGGCCACCCCTGATTTTCACGCAGGCAAACAGGGTTGCACTTGCTTGCCGCCCTGCTTGACGCTGCGGGTTCGCCTGTCGCCGCCAATCCCACCAAACCAGGTGCTGTCCGTCGTCGCGCAGCAGCTGCACGCGCTGCAGTCCGCGCTGCGCACCTGCGCGGAGCGCGTAGTGTTTGAGGGCCGCGAGATGCGCGTGCTGCCGGGGTGCGGCGTGTTTGTGACGATGAACCCCGGCTACGCCGGCCGCACAGAACTGCCAGACAACCTGAAGGTGAGCAAGGGTGCTTGCCTTTTCCTCGACAAACAGTTGTCATTGCAATGCAGTTCATGACCATCACGATAGCACTTGGCACGAGCCGCTGCGCCGTCCGCCTCCAGCCCCTCAAACGGTGCTCCATGTGAATGCGCGCGCCAGGCCCTGTTCCGACCCGTGGCGATGGTGGCCCCTGACTGCGCCCTGGTGGCGGAGGTGACGCTGTTTGCCGAGGGGTTCAGCGACGCCCGCCGCCTGGCCGGCAAGATGACGGCGCTCTACCGCATCGCGGAGGAGCAGCTCTCCAGACAGGTTTGGTGGGGGCTGCAGGGAGAGCGGCGGGAGGGCAGGGAGGGCAGAGAAGAGCAAGGAGGGCAGCGGCATGCAGGGGAGGCGGGGTGCTGATAGGGTGGGCGACCCTCGTGCCGCATGGGCGAAGGGGCTGCAACGTTGGACCTTGAAGGCAGGAATTCACGTTTTGTAGTGCTGTAAGGACTTGGAGCTGGGTAGGTAACTAACAAGCACATGTGCTCACCTCCATGTCAGCTGAATGACTGCTCGTGCCTTCCACCAATCGTCTCTGCATTCCCCTTCCCGCGTCTCCTGCCCATCCGCCCGTCTGAAACCCCGGCAACTCACTGCAAAGGACCACTACGACTTTGGCATGAGGGCCCTCAAGAGCGTCCTGCTGATGGCTGGCGCCGCCAAGCGCGCCGCACCAGACAGCGATGACGAGGACGCGGTGCTCATCGCCGCCATGCGGGATGCCAACCTCCCAAAGCTGACGTCAGAGGTGGGCGCGGCAAATCATTCGCGGGGAAAGCACTGGCACAAAAGGGTGTGCTAGGATTGGGACTAGGATTGCTGCATGTGCTGGCGCCTCTTGCCTTTCTCATGCAGGCTGGCGGCCGCGTTCCCGGGCGCCGCCTGCTGCCCTTGCTGCCTGCTTGACCTTTTGACTGCAACACCGCAAACCCGGGGGCTGGTGAGCGCAAGGCCGTTACCCCACTCTTGCAGTGCGTCCATCCCCACAATCCAACCTTGTTTGACCCCTGGTCCCCCTTTCTGCAGGATGGTGTGCTGTTCGAGTCAATCATATCAGACCTCTTCCCGGCGGCCGCCCCGCCCGCGCTGCGCGCCGGCGAGCTGCGGCGCGCGCTGGCGGCGGCGCTGTTGTCCCGCGGGCTGCAGGCGGCCGAGGGGCTGGTGGTGAAGGCCGTGCAGCTGAGGGAGACGCTGGGCGTGAGGTTTGGCGTCATGATCGTCGGGCAAGCAGGTGGGGTTACGCACGCGTGTCCGCTTGATGCGGAGTGGGGCTAAGGCTTTGTTCAAACAGAAAAGGTGTGCACAGCAGAGCCTGGCATCATCATGGAACATCCTAAGGCCTGTTTGTAGCCGCACGAGGGGTTCGGGTCCCAAGGTCACCAGCACCCCGTCAATGCAGGGAGCGGCAAGACAACCTGCCACGAGGCCCTGCAGGCAGCTCTGAACCTGCTGCATGGACCCAAGTACTCGCTGCCGGAGGCGCAGCCCTCCCCTCAGCACCACAACCAGCTCTCGGGCGGCGCGGACGAGGCGCCGCCGCTCAGGTCTGCTGTCGAGGTTGTGCTGCTCAACCCCAAGAGCTTGGAGCTGGCAGAATTGTACGGCAGCTACAACCCCTCGACCGGCGAGTGGCGGGACGGCCTCGCCTCTGCAGTCGTGCGGAGCGCAACGGCGGCGGCTGCAGCAGCCGCTGCAGCGGGCGTGGAGGGGCAGCAGGACTGGGTGGTGTTTGATGGGCCAGTGGACGCGCTTTGGATTGAGAGCATGAACACAGGTGAGGATGGATTTCCAGTGGTTTGCGAGCGTATCATGACTCAGCTAAGCAACAGCTGAATCGTCTCTTCCAGAAGTGATAAGGGCACAATCAGGCTCAGCATCTCACCAAGCTTCACACTCGTTATAACTTTGATCTTGCCCAGCCTTGCTGCCGCCCTCTGTCTCCTCAAACCCCATTCTCCACCCCGCCGTCCTCATACTGTCATTCGCCCCTCCCCCTTTTCCTCCACCGCACCGCAGTGCTCGACGACAACTGCATGCTCTGCCTGCCCAATGGGGAGCGCATCCGCCTTGATCCACGGCGCATGCGGATGCTGTTCGAGGTGGAGGGCCTGCAGCACGCGTCACCCGCAACAGTCAGCAGGTGCGCGTGGAAGCGATTGTGTGCGGTGCCGATGCCGGCGGCAAGGCAGTGCAACCGGGCCGGCCCTGCTCATATCTGCGGGCGCCATGTCATAGACGCAGCGTTACTCATTACAATACCATAATGGAGTGATCGTTAAGCTCATCATCGTCAGTGGCAAGGAGATCAGCACCAGTAACATGGGTGTGAGCTGTCTCCACCACACCTACTTGCGCCATGGCCCCCAACATGCCCCACCGCACACACTCACAGGTGCGGCATGGTCTACATGCCGCCCGGCGCCGTCGGGTGGCGACCCTTCGCCCGCAGCTGGCTGCAGGCGCTCCCCCTCAAAGCGGCCACCACCGACGATGCGGGCTGCGACCCTGACCAGCGTGTGTCGGGTTGGCAGCCGCAGGGGAGCGAAGCCGTGGGCGAGGCCGTACCTCCTACCGACTGCGCTGCTGAGGATCCCCCATCTACACCGCCGCAGCCTCGTCAGCAGGAGGACGGGTGCGGCCCTGCGGGGCCACAGCTGGAGCCAGTCCAGGAGTTCCTGTGGTCGCTGCTCGACGCGTGGGTCGACCCGCTGCTGGCGTGGGTGCGCGCGCGCGGCAAGGAGGCCGTCGCGACGGTCGATGTGGGCTTGGTGCAGGCGGCGGCGACGCTGCTCGGGCGCTTGCTGGAGACCGAGGGGTGAGGCTCGTTGTGGGCGCACATGACCCACTGCCAAGCGCCGTCCTAATAGCCGGGCGGGTTAGAACAGGCGCAATTCGTGCCTGAGATCCACAGAGCTCCAATTGCACATCAATGCACCCACGCCAAGCTCTCAAAACCCTCATTGTAATTGACCGTGCCCTGCTCGATCGCACCCTGCCAGGCGGCACTGCCTGGAGACGGGGCCGCTCACAGATGCCCAGCGGGTATCCCTGCAGTACATGACCGCCTACGCCGTCGTCTGGGGCCTGGGAGGCAACCTCGACGCGGCCAGCCGCGACAGCTTTGACCAGGCCGCCAGGAAGCTGCTGAACGGCTCCGCCAACTACCCTGCGGGCGCGGGCACCGTGTTTGACTACCGGCTGGATGTCAAGAGGTTGGTGCCGGCCGGCCCCCAAAAGCCTCTTGATGCTTCGTCGGCACACATATGGACACGTGTACTGCTAATTTTCAAGCACAGCTCAAAAACCGCAATAGTCACTTGATGCACATTACTCTCAAACACATGCATCGATGTCTCTCCTTGTTCAGGTCGGCCTTTGTGCGCTGGGAGGACTGCCTGCCGCCCTTCCACTACGACACCGTGGCCCCCTTCTCATCCATTTTCGTGCCCACCGCCGACACCGAAAAGTACGGCGCCATGCTGCGCAGCTGCCTGGAAGCCGGCCGCCCCGCCCTGCTGGTCGGCGACAGCGGCGCTGGAAAGAGCACAATCGTGGCAAGCCAGCTGGAGTTGATGGCCCGGGGCTTCGACGCCGGCGGGGGCTGCGGCGGCCAGGACGGCGGCGGCAGGGGTGTTGCGACGGCGCTGCTGGCTTGCTCGGCGCTGACGGGCTGCGGGACGGTGCAGGGGCTGCTGCAGTCAAAGCTGGCGAAGCGCAGCGGCAGGTGGGGGCAGCGATTCCGCCTCATCACATGGGTCTAGCCCCGGGGCGCGTATCGCTTGCTGGGGAGGCAACGCCTGTCTCTGCGGGCGCACTGCCTGATTTTGTAGCTTGCCTGCCCTGCGTGGCGCCGTTGGCACGCCTGCCAACACGGGTGCAATCTTGCTGCAGGCTGGAGCCCCTGGAGCCTGGCAAGCAGCTGGTGCTGTTTGTGGACGACATCAACCTGCCAGCCAGGGAGCAGCATGGCGCTCAGGTAAGGGAACGCCCTGAATGACATGCACCCTGACGGTACATGTGCTTGGCGCATGTGCCGCACCCTTCGCCAAATCCTGCGCCTGCACAAGCATCTGCCTGCGCCTGCTCTGCAACCCACCCTCTGACACCCCATGCGCACACACACATTCACACACACGCACGCACGCACACAATCTCTCTCTACTAAAAACTCACACACAATCTCAACACAAATGCAAACACAATTCCCTCCACCCGTACATACAAACACACTCACACACATGATACACATCCTGCTCTTGAGCTGCTACGTCTTCTCATCGACCGCCGCGGCCTGTACGATCGAAAGTCCCTCGCGTGGTGGCCCACCTCGCCCCTCGCCGTGGCCGCCGCCTGCGGCCCGCCCGGCGGCGGCCGCCAGCCGATGAGCGCGCGGCTGACGCGCCACTTTGTGCAGCTGGCGGTGCCGCCTCCGGGGGAGGCGGGCGTCGGGCGGGTGTGCACGGCGATCCTGGGCGGATTCCTTGAGGCTCACTTCACTCCAGGTGGGCCATCACATGGGATTGAGATTAATTGGGTGCGGGCTGTTTGCTGCGTTAAAAATCGTACCTCCTCAATCCGACGAAAGTCTACAGTGTGTGCTGTTGCGCCTGACGTCATCCTAGTTGACTCCGGCCTCGCGTAGTGCGCTCATTGGTGCCCGCCCTGACTGATCTTGGGATGCACTGCAGACGTCACCAGCCGCATGCTGGAGCCGCTGGTGGCGGCGAGCGTGGAGGTGTTCCGGCGCGTGTCCTCCTGCCTGCTGCCCACGCCCAGCCGCAGCCACTACGTCTTCAGCCTCAGGGACGTCGGCAAGGCGCTGCAGGTGTGGTGGGGCGCACGCGCCCACGCGTCCACGTGCGTTCCGATTGCCAGCATCACGTCTGCTGACCTTGGACGCAAACGTAAAAAGGGACACTTGCACTAATCAAACTTGCAAAGGCTGTGCAGTCCCTGCAAATCCAGGCCGATATGGCACGGGCGCCTACTGTACAATTGGTCCTGATGAGTACACATACCACCTGCGCCCACTAACCGCAGGGCATGACCCAGGTCCGGCCCGCGCAGTGCGGCGCCAACGTGCGATCGGCGCTGCAGCGCCTGTGGCTGCACGAGCACCTGCGCGTCTACGGGGACCGCCTGGTGGACGGCGGCGACGCGGCGTGGCTGCGGGGGGCGCTGCTGGACGTGATGCGCGCGCGGTTCGACTGCCGCCAGGAGTACGCCGAGCTGTTTGACCCGGATAAGGAGGTCATTTTCGGTAAGGGCTGGCAGCCTGGGGATTTTGACGATTGGTGGCGCCTGCTTGCTTGTTCAGAGGGCCAGGGTGTGCTGTGTTTGTATGTGCATGCCGCAGCTGGCGTAGGCGCGCCCTTTCATGCGCCGGCTCTGCACTTTGGCAGAGCCTGCCAAAGGAACCTCAGGCTGTTGGAAACCCTCATGACACGATGGAGTCGTCCCGTCGCCCGCCCGCACCGCGCGAACGCACCTCAAGGTGACTTCCTGAAACCGGGCGCGCCGCGCGACCAGCGGCCGTACGAGGAGCTACCCTCCGACCCGGCCCGGCTCGCGCGGCTGCTAGAGACATACCAGGTGAAACGATAACGGTTGTGCGATCCAGACTACCAGGTGTGAGTTCTTTTTGCCTGTTCAGCCCAAGGCACCACCCTTGTGCCTTGAACTCTGACTGATGTGCGTTGGGCAACAACTCATAGCACTCAGTGGCGACCGCCCCTGCATCACAGTTGCCAGACAACCGGCTGCACCCGGATGCATGTTCTCCCCACACAGGACGAAATATTGCTGGGCGCGCGTCCCCGCGCGCCTCCGCCCGCGGCGCCTGGTCGCTCTGCTGGCACCGACGATGGCCGCGCTGCGCGGCCCCAAGCCGCCTCATCAAGTCGCCTCGTTTTCTTCAGGGATGCTGCACGGCATGTGGCCAGGCTTGCACGCATATTCCGGCAGCCCAGGTGAGCTGGAGAACCTTTCAGACGCACCTGGCAGTCTCACCTGACACAACAATTGCAGCGTGCGCAGTTATGCGAGCTCTGCCTGCTTCGGCATCAAAGAGTCTGCTTGCGGTATGATTTTGTCAACAGCAGTCTGCCATGCTCGTGCCATGCGGACTAAACCCTTCCCAAAACCTGAATTTGCACCCTGCCAACAGGGGCAACGCCCTCTTAGTGGGCGTCGGAGGCAGCGGCAAGTCGTCTCTCGCGCGCTTTGCCGCTATGATATCAGGCGCTGACTTTGCGGCGGTAGAAGTGCGGCGCGGCTATGGGCTGGCCGGCTTCCGAGAAGACGTAAAGCGCATCTACAAAGTGAGCGGTTTGGCTGTTGCAATCAAGGCGTTCAAGCATCCTGTCAATCGGGGTCAAATCCTTGTCCCTCCTGCTGATGGCATAGCCTGGTGCTTGATCAGCAGTTTGCATTGGCCACTTCTGCTTGCCGAGGCTTGCTCAAAGTACTCTAGGCAACGAGCTGGACGTCAACATCAAACCAATGGACGACCGACTGCGAGCAGGTGGCGGGAGTTGATGGCCGCCGTGTCGTGTTTTTGGTGCCGGACGCTGCTTTAGGCACGTCGGAGGCCGAGGCGACTCTCGCCGACATCAACACCTTGCTCAACACTGGCGACGTCATGGGTGGGCACTGATTTAGACGTGTGCTGTGGGTGCACATGCCTGCACTTCTCACCTTGGGTGTGAGAGCGAGGATGGGGGTTTCACACCTTGTGCTATGGCACCCAGCACGCACTGAACGCATGTGTGCGACTGATTCCCCTGGTTTGGCGCCATGGGCGCGGTCATCAAACCGATTTGCAGGCATGTGGACTGACGAGGAGCGGCGCGAGGTCCTGGACGGCATCCGACCCTGGCTCTCCCAGCGCCAGTCCGCAAAACAGCCGCTCCCGCCCCCGCCAAGACGGCTTCCTGACCCCACAAACGCCGGAGGCGGCGACGCCGCGCCGCGCCAGCAGGACCAGGCGCGGCAGCCTCCCCTCACAGAGGCCCCCGATGCGGCTTGGGCCGCGTTTATCGACAGGGCGCGCTCGAATCTGCACTGGGTGCTGGCTATGAGCCCTGTCGGGGATGCCCTCAGGACCAGGTGGGGGCTGGGCTGCCGTACCGGCGCAAAAGGACCGCGGGGTCCGAAAATACCAGGCCCCCTTGGGCAAACGGGGCCCAAGATTTCTGTGAGTGAGCCTGACCCGGGCTCTCTTGGACTTCATTTCAATTGGATGGAACCAAGCGTTACAACAGCACCATATCTTGCAGACCCCGTCATCCAGTTCCCCCCTCGTCATCATCTCCATTCTTGACCCCCCCCACCAGGTGCCGTCAGTTCCCGTCCCTCACAAGCTGCACCACCATAGACTGGTTCCACCCCTGGCCAGCAGACGCCCTCGCCAGCGTCGCCGAGAGGGCCCTGTCCGCCGTCCACGTGCTGTCGGCTGGCCGCGACGGCGCCGACGGTGATGGTGCCGGCAGCCTGGTGCGGGCGGCGGCGACGCTGGCTGTGGAGGTCCACACCGGGGTGCAGGCGGCTGCCGAGCGCTACAGCCAGGAGCTGCGCAGGAGGTGGGCCTTCAGAAAACCCCAGAATGTGTCCCACAAGGACCTCGACCCCTGGAAAACCCTAAACCCTGAACCTAGCGTCAGGGCATACATGTGTGGTACTCGCCGGATGCACGCCTTTGCAATGAAGCATGTGCTCACATAAGAATCGTCCACGTCTGTTAAGCCTGCTGCCGTCCAACGTTTGCAAATATTTCGTTCACCCCGTCTGAGCGGGACCTTTTGTCTGACCACACCGTCATCCCGCACCCTGGTAGGTATTTCGTTACCCCCAAGGCCTACCTGGACTTCCTGGCACTGTACGCATCCCTCATGGAGCGCCAGGGCGCGGAGCTGGGCGCGGCGCGTGGAAGGCTGCTTGACGGCATCGCGCGGCTGCAGGTGTGCTGACAGCGGGCCCCTGACTCGCCACAGCCTCGTGCGTGCGTGCGGCACACCTGTCGATAGGCGGGCTCTGGCAAGCTTGCAGCCGCACATAACTTCTCACATTGCTGCGCATAATCCCTCACATCAAATTGTCGTGTTGCTTCAGGACACTAATGAGGCGGTTGACCGTATGCAGCGGCAGCTGAATGATCTGCAGCCCCTGCTCGAGCAGAAGCGGGCGGCGGCGCAGAAGCTCCTGGAGCAGGTGACGGCGATGCGGCACTGTCGACAGGCCAGGGCGTCCGGGGCTCACTTGGCTTCATGCCCACTGGATGCATCTACAACCCCACAACAGCCTTCAGAACCTGCTATCCCCTTGTGCATACCCTCACGCACCCCCACAAATCCGCACGCACATTTCCCAGGTTTCGAAAGAGCAGGCAGACGCAAACGCGATCGCGGCGGTGGTCGCGGCCGAGGAGTCCGAGGTTGCGGCACGCGCGGCGCAGACGCAGGCGCTCAAGGACGAGGCGCAGGCGGACCTGGCAGCTGCGTTGCCCGCGCTGGAGGCCGCCATCAAGGTGAGCGCTGCCATCCATCAAGCTGCATGTGCTGCGCTGCAGATCCCGCCTTGTTTCTGCCCAATTACATACAAAATGCACATGACAAATCAACACTTCCAGCACGCACATGCGTGCAAGAGCGTGCGCGCGCGCGTCCGTGCGCGCGTGTGCGCACACACACACACACACACACACACACACACACACACACACACACTCACACACACACACACACACACACACACACTCGCGCGCCGTGCATCCATCTTCCTAACCTGACGCCCTTGTTGTCAGCCACCCCTCCACTCCCACCTCTTCATGGACACCGCTGACCCCCGCCACATCATGCGAACGTGGCCCAGGCCCTTGATGCCCTGAACAAGGCTGACATCATTGAGATGAGGACCTTCATTAAGCCGCCCACCCTGGTGCACCTCACGATGGAGGGAGTGTGCATACTGCTGCAGGTGGGCGGCAGCGGGGCCCGCTGCTGGCGGCAGCACCGCCAGGACCCGTCCCTTTGGCGCGTATGCAGCTCGCCGCCTGACAGTTGCAGCCACCTGCCATGAAATCGCTTGCGCTGAACACAAACATACCACGCATCTGTAAACAAGCCTCCGGCCGGACCAGCCACGCCATCCCATTGTCAACGGCACGGACATGCACACCGTGCGCCGCAGGACAAGGGTGCTGGCGAGGAGTTCTCATGGGACGCGGCGAAGCGCGTGCTGAGCGACGCCAACTTCATCAAGCGGCTCACAGATTTTGACCGCGACAACCTGCCAGAGAGGGTTGTGCGCCAGCTGCAGCGCGTCATGGCCGACCCCACGTTCACCCCAGAGCAGGTGTGTGTGTGTGTGTGTGTGGGTGGGTGTTTGGCTGATGAAGCCGTGCTTCGCTGGCCTGCATGTGTGATGCCCCCACACAAATGGGAGGAGATGTTTGACGGAATGGTGGCAAGACATGTGATTGAGCATCGTCAAGCCGCACCATGATGCGCTCAGGGTCCCTGCTGCATCGATCTGTACGAGATCATCTGCGCAGTCAAACGCCGGGCCAAGGCTGCCAAGGGCGGCTCGGCCGCAGCGCCGCAAAGCGCCTTATGTATGCCCATGGCAGGTTAGCCGGGGGATGCGAGCGGGGAAGGGGTAGCCCCCAATCACGGCTCCATGCGTGCTGCTGCCTCCCTTGAACCCGCAATCAGGTCGGCAAGCAGTCGCGGGCGGCCATGAGCATCTGCTGCTGGGTGCGCGCCATGGACACCTACGCCGCCGTGTACAAGATGGTTGAGCCCAAGAGGCTCGCGCTGGCAGCAGCACAGGTCAGTGCCGGCCTGCGTTCACAGCATGCCGGAAGTAATCCAACCCACACTTTTGACCAGCCACCATCACAAGGTGTTTGCAGTGCTTGCGGTCGCAGACCTAGATATTGTGGTGTTGCTGACTGCCAGGATTTTTTGGCATCCCGCCTTGGTGCGCGCCAGGCTGCGCTGGACGCGAGCAACGCGGTGGTGGCTGAGAAGCGCGCCAGCCTCTTGGCCATCCGGGAGAAGGTGGCGGCGCTACAGAGGCAGCTGGCGGACACGCAGGCGGAGATGGCGTCGCTGACATTCCAGGTCCGGCGGGGCGGGTGCTCGGGGCCGCCAGTGTCGCACCCATGCGGCTGCTGCTTTGAGGCGCTCCAGGCTTGGGCCCTGGTGTAGCAGGGGTGCGCATACCAGAGGGTTTCAGGGGCCAGCACGCCTCTCAGAGGGCCCTGGTTGTGCCTCCACGCCGCCTGGACCCGCCTGCCCAACTTCCGCTCAGGCCGACCTGAGCCACCGCCGGCTGGGCCGCGCGGGCAAGCTGACCGCGCTGCTGGGCGACGAGATGGCGCGGTGGCAGGGGACCGCGGACGCGCTGGGGGCACGCCTGGCGCTGCTGCCAGGGGACGCGCTGCTGGCGGCTGCGTGCGTGTCGTACACCGGCGCGTTCACAGGTGCGCCTCTTGACCCCTGGCGTTTTGCGGTGAGGGCGCCATGTCGAAAGTCTGCATGGCAGCCATGTCATGGTCAATATGCAGTCAACTCATCTGCGCATGGCTTTACCTCAACCCTGCTCCGAATCCCGCCCAGCCCTGATCTGAAACCAATTGTTACCTCATCCATGCCCTGCCTCCAGTCCTGTTCTAATCCAAACATTCCCTTTGCGCTTGTTCCTGCTCACCAAAAGGCAACCCCCCTTCCCCAATCCAACCCTAGGTCCGTACCGCCAGGACTTGCTCCAGGGCTGGCTGGGCCGCTGCGCAGATCTGTGCATCCCCGTCACCCCAACCTTCAGCCTCGCCGCCGCGCTGGCGTCCACGGTCGAGCTGCGGGAGTGGCTGGCTCAGGGCCTGCCCTCCGACAGCGCGAGCGTCGACAGCGGCGCGCTCGTGGCGCGGGGCGGCGGGCGGTGGCCCCTCATCATTGACCCCCAGGAGCAGGGCAGCTCGTGAGTCTCGTTGGGTTTCGATGGGCGGTGATGAGGTGACGGGTCTACTGCGTGTAAGCCCCACATCAGCTGCCTGCTTTTGAAGGAGGATACGCATGGTCTGCTGTCAATGAACATGTGCGTAGCCGCGTGCAATCCGCCGCGCAGAATCGCATTCCCCCACCCACAAATATGGCAGGTGGATCAAGGCCATGGAGGGTGCCAACGGCCTGCGCGTCGTCTCAGCGTCAGCGCCTGCACTGCTGCCAACCCTGGAGGCTGCCGTGCGTGCAGGGCTGCCCGTTTTGGTGGAGGACGTGGGGGAGGCCCTCGACCCTGTGCTGGACCCCCTCCTCACAAAAGCCACCTACCAGCATGGTGCGCGGCCATGGGAGGGTGGCCTCGCGACACAACAGGCATGACATTTGCACTGGACGCGCCGATGTCAAGGTGTCATGATGTCATGTTTCAACCAACGCCGATGTCATGTTTCAACCAACGCCTCGCATCCCGGTTTGGCTGTGCAGGCCCTAGGACCATGATTCACCTGGGGGATTCTGAGGTTGAGTATGATCCGAAATTCAGGTGAAGCGGCTGGTTGACTTGTTAGGGGCTTGCATGTCGTGTATAGCCTTTGCCAGCAAATGACCCCTCGGCTTTGCTGCAAGGACAAGTGGCTGCATGCATTGATTGGCTTGCGCTTCCCAACCAGCTGACAGCACCCAACCACCCGTTGGCACAACCCTTCAGGCTGTACCTGGCCACGCGGCTGCCCAACCCCCACTACCTGCCTGAGGCCTGTGCAAAGGTCAACCTGGTCAACTTTGCAGTCACAAGAAAGGTGAGTTTGCAGGCACAGGGTATTGTAAAACAGCCCTGCTGGCAATCGCATGGGCCAGGTTTGGGTGTCTTCTTTGGCGGCATTTTGCAGGGCTTGCAGTTGCAGCCTGCGTTGACCAATTGCGCACCGACTCACTGCCTGCCGCACATCCCCTTTATACTGCCAGGGCCTGGAGGACCAGCTGCTGGGGGAGCTGCTGCTCAGGGACCGCCCAGAGCTGGAGGATGCACGCGACAGGCTGGTGGTGTCCATAGCTTCTGACAAGCGGCAGCTGCAGGTGGCAAAACTCTGCCCTGCACCGGATGTCAGTCGCTTTGAGGCCGGCTGTGTATCCAACTCACGCCCCTGTCGACGGGTGCGTGCTGGCCGCTCCTGTCGACGGGTGTGTGCTGGCCGCTCTGGTATGGCGGCACGTGCACATCGCATAAAGGCAGGACCCCAGTGTGCATGCGCCACTGCATCAGCCTTGCATTTTTGCCACCCCCAGGAACTGGAAGACAAGGTGCTGCGGCTGCTGAGGGAGTCCAGCGGCCACCTGCTGGATGACGAGGCGCTCATAGCCACCCTCAACAACGCACGCACCACCAGCGGTGAGCACACACGCTGGCTCATGACGCCACAAAAGCTGCACAAGAAAGCAGGGTGCGGCACGACGCTGGCTAAGGTGCCTTTTGGAAGACACACAGGTTTAGGTGGGCAGTTTAGGGCAGCTTCATCATGTGGCCGCGACTTACGTGCTTGCACGATTGAACTTGCCACACCACTGCAGGCGTCATCGCCACCCGTGTGCGCGAGGCCGAGTCGACGGAGGCCACCATTAACGCCGCCCGCGAGGGTTACCGCGGCCCTCCGGCGCGCGGCGCGACGCTGTGGTTTGTGGTGTCAGACCTGCCGGGCCTGGGGCCCATGTATCAGACAAGCCTGCGCGCCTTCAAAGCCATGTTTGTACACTGCATAGCGGCCGCGACCACTCCTGGTGCGAGCGCGCCAGGGGCAGCGGCGCGGCTGGCGGCACGGCTGGCAGGGCTGACCGATTACCTGACTTCGTACATCTACAACACTGTGAGTTTTGTGGACTGCATGGGAAGGTGCCACTCCTGGAAGGGAGTGAACTCAAGTCTTGTGGTCCTCATTGCCACCGCTGATGACTTTCTTGCTGTAATCTTGCAATGCCGTCTGCCAAACAACAGCAAAGAAAGTTGGTGGCCCTCACCCAATCTTGTTGCGCCGCCACTTATCTTGTCAACGGCCGCCGTCACAGGTGTGCCGTGGGCTGTTTGATGACCGCAGGCTGATCTTTAGCCTTCTCATAGCCACTTCAATCCAGCGGGCCGCCGGCGCAATCAGCCTGGCTGAGTGGCGGCACTTTGTGAGCAGTGGCGCCATCACGACTCCGGCCGTACCAGCTGCTTCTGAGCGGCAGACCGGGCAACAGCAAGCAACTGTCAGCTACCATCGTCATCATCATCATCATCATCATCATCAGCAGCAGCAGCAGCAGCAGCAACAGCAGCAGCAGCAGCAGCAGGTTAACCTGGAGGCACCTTCCTGGCTGCCGCCGCAGGCTTGGGCAGCACTGCTAGCGCTTGACGCATCTGTGCCAGCATTTTGCGGCGCGTCGCACGCTCTGGTCGCAGCTTCAGTCTCAGATGGAGCTGGTGGGGAAACGGCGCCGCCTGCTGTGGCGGCTGTGTTGAGTAGCTCTAATCCCTTTGTAGCGGCCGGGACAAACGACCTCGCAAGCTTGTGGCGGCAACAGCGAGGTATGCAGTCGTCAGAGCAAACAGAGCGTGGCCACCAACAACAGCAGCAGCAGCAGCAGCAGCGGCAGCAGGAGCAGGAGGCGCCAGGCCGGGAGGAGAGCCGATCCCTGTCACCGTTCCAGCGGCTGCTGCTCGTCCGCGCGCTCCGTGAGGACGCCCTCTGCCCCGCCTTCGCGTCATACACCTCCGGCCAGCTGGGCCCCGACTTTGACCCTACATCAGCCGCCTTGGGAGGCCAAAGGGACGGCCTATCTGCAGCCCTAGCAGACAGCTCCCCAACAACGCCGCTCGTGCTGGTGCTCGCGCCTGGTGCCGACCCACTTGCCGCGCTGTTGCGGGCGGCGGACGCGGCCGGGCGCGCGCCGGGGCGCGGGCTGCATCTGGTCAGCCTTGGCCAGGGGCAGGGGCCCGTGGCGGAGGGCCTGGTGCACTTGGCGATGAAGGCGGGAGACTGGGTGTGCCTGCAGGTGCGGGTGCCTCTGTCACATGTCATAAGGTGCTGTGCTTTTACAACGGTGCCCTTTGCAATACTGTGGTTCAGGAAAGGACACCGGTTCATGGGCATCCGATTCTGCTGCTCGACTGGACCTGTCCGCTAGCTGTTGTTGACCTCACGTTTTGACCACACTCCCGCGCCCTCATCCGACCGCAGAACTGCCACCTGGCGCGCTCCTGGATGCCGCGCCTGGAGCAGCTCGTCACGGCGGACCTCCCCGCCGCCGCGTCCTCCCACGACCCCGACCAGCGGCCCCACCCCGACTTCCGGCTCTGGCTGACATCAGCGCCGTCGCCAGACTTCCCGGCGCCGGTCCTGCAGGCGTCGTCAAAGGTGGCCCTCGAGCCGCCGAGGGGCGTCCGCGCGCGCGCGCTGCGCGCCCTGGCGTCGCTGCCGGCCGCGTGCTGGCCGAGCTGCGACGCCGCGGGGCGCGGGCCGGAGTGGCGGCGGCTGCTGCTGTCGGGCGTGCTGCTGCACGCGGTGGTATTGGAGCGGCGGCGGTACGGCGCGCTCGGGTGGACCCGGCCATACGAGTTTTCGGACGGCGACCTGTCCTGCAGCCTATCCACCCTGCAGCTGTCCCTGCAGGACGGCGGCGCCGCGCGCCGCCGGCAGCCGGCGGACGCCGAGCGCGGCGGCGCGGGGAGTGCGGCGGCGGCAGCCGCGGCCTCGACGCCGTCCTCGCCGGCGGCGGGCGCGCTGCACTCGTGGGTGCCATGGGAGGGCCTGCGGTACCTGACGGGTCAGATCATCTACGGCGGGCGGGTCACGGCCGAGCACGACCGGCGGCTGCTGGCGGCCCTGGTGGGGCGGCACTTGTGCCCCAGAGCGCTCGCCCCATTCGCGCGGCTGGCAGGTGGGTGGCTTCTGTTTGCCTTCAGGCGCCAATTGCAGCTGTCAGCGGGCTTGTTGATGTCCTGGGAGTGAATGCACGTGACTGCGGGCAATTTCCTGCAAAGCCCTGATCTGAATGACATCTAAGTTGGTTGTTGTTTGCCCCCTCCCAAACCATAATCCATGCAGAGGGCCTGGAGCTGCCGCCAGACGGCGATGCAGCCTCCTTTGATGAGCATCTGCGGTCCCTCCCCGCTGTGGACGACCCACGCATCTTTGGCCTGCACCCCAATGCCAGCATTGCGTTTGGCCGTCAGGAAGCACGGCGGGTGCTTGATGCAATTGTGTCGTTGCAGCCGCGGGCCGCACCTGAAGCGGCCCCGCAGCAGCAGCAGCAGCAGCAGCAGCAGCAGCAGCAGCAGCAGCAGCAGCAGCAAAAAGAACAGCAGGAGCAGCAACAGCAAAGCAGCAGCGCAGCCCCGCATGCAACCACAGACGAGGGTGCCCTGGCGGCACGAGTTGAGGAGATGCTCTCAAGCCTGCCGGCCCCCCTTGCACGGGAGCGTGCGAGTGTGCTGCATGACCCGTTCGCGCCACTGGTCGGCGGCGGGGTGAACGCCCTTGGGACTGTGCTGGCGCAGGAGATGGGCAGGTGAGAGGATACAGAAACCAAGTTGAGAGGTGCTCATGGTGGGGAGGCAGATGACATGAATTGTGACATTCGCCTCCGGTGTCTGGATTGGGTTCAACATTGGTTCTTACTCATCAGCAGGTTGCTGTTTCGAAGCTGAGCGGTCAGTCGCGCTGTGCCAATCAACCATCCAGGCACAACACTTTGCTGTCGGTGGTGTCCACGTCGCTGACCACCCTGGGCCATGCTCTTTGCGGCCGGGAGGTGATTGGCGGAGAGCTGGAGGCAGTGGGCGCATCAATCGCGCGCGGCCAGGTGCGGCGGGCGGTGGAGGGGGCAGGGCGGAGGGTGCGTTAGGCAGATTGGGAGTTTCTCAAAGACAACCGCTAAGATGCACAGGATCAAAATGGTGCATGTGCTGCCTGACTGCACCGCAAAGTCATTGATTTCAAGCAACTCTTTGCGCTCTCCTCGAACAACTTGCTGCGGTGTGAACTCTCACCCTCGAGGAGCAGGTCCCGGCCCTGTGGGCGCGCGCCGCCTACCCGAGCCGCAAGCCGCTGGGCGGGTGGCTGCGGGACCTGCACCGCCGCTTCGCCGCCCTGGACGCTTGGCTCACAGGAGGCGAGCCGCGTGCCTTCTGGCTGCCGGGCCTGTTCCATCCGCGGGGCCTCGTCACCGCCGCGCTGCAGAACCACGCGCGGCGGCGGCGGCGGCCTGTGGACGCAATGGCGATGGCGCACCGCGTGCTGGCGAGCGCCGAAATTCCCGAAGCTGGAGAGCGGCGCCCCGCGGCGGCAGCCGGGGATAGCGGCGGCGCCAATCGCGGCGTTGGGGATAGTGGTGGCGGCCGCGTCGAGGCGGAGGGGGCTGTGTATGTGTACGGGCTGTCCCTTGAGGGTGCGCGCTGGGACGAGGCCGCGGGGGCGCTGGCTGAGTCGCGGCCGGGCGAGACGACCTGCCCGCTGCCGATGGTGGAGCTTCAGCCTATAGATTGGCAGCAGCAGCAACAGCAGCAGCAGCAGGAAATGCAGGACGAGGAACGGCGACTAGATGTGGGGGCGTCCCTGCCCTGCCCATATTCTGGTCCAGCGGCGCAGGGCGGCAGCGCAGATGCAAATCAGGCGGGGGTTTATGAATGCCCATTGTACATGTGCGCCTCCCGCAGCAATTTTGTGATGCACCTGCAGCTGGCTATACCGCATGACAGCGCAGCAAGCACATGGGTGCTGCAGGGCACGGCAGCACTGTGCTCCCTGGACGATGATTGAATGCCAGTTTCGACGCACACCCGACGTGTAAGTCTTTACGGATTGTCTCCTGTCCCCCTGTGGTGTTATTGTACAGCAGCATATACTCAGGTTTGATCATGAACACTGGGAATACATTGGTGATACGCGGACGCGCATGTGTGTGTGTGTGTGCGCGTGCGCGCGCGCGGCCGGCACTTCGCCTCGTCAGCATTGCTCCAGGAGCCGATCACTGCCGTCCGTGATCCGAGAATTCACACGGTAATCGCAGTGAATCGGAAAATATCATCATGTATTTCTTGGATGATAGGTTTCCACGGGCTGTTGACAACGCTTTTCACCAACAAATCCACCAAGTGCGACTGGTCCAGATCATGACCTCTCGAGACCGATGACTGCATCAATGAAACCATTTTAATAATGTTTTGCGTCGTTGATCAAAGAGAGGTGGGGCGGGATTTGGACGAAGAGCCCACGTTTGGGTTTCATGAGTAGTTCGGCAGTATGTGAGTGCTTGCAAGCAACCACGTGAAAGTATGCTATTGTGATCGAAGCTTGAGGCCAGCCTGGCGCGTGCTACTCGCGATCAAGATGCTCCGTGCCGCTTGGCACGTGCGTAATGCTGCCTCTGCTGCAGGTGTTCGCATGAGATTGCCACCATGGGCAAAGTGTCGCAAGAGGAGCGGCGGCGGCAGGTGGTGCACCACAAACAGGAGGTGAGCAACACACGAACATGGTCATGCGCACATAGTGCCATGCAAACGATGGCAGTTTGCAAAAGTTTGCAAAAGCGACACGTTGTTGGCTTGGCTGCCGTCGCCTTGATTTGGTTGGGAACTCACCAACACTCACATGCATGAGCATGCAACCCCCAGGCTCGACGCTACAAGGAAGATCATCGAGTGGCCCCTCAGGATAGGCCTGCTTTGACAGCCGACTGCTACACGATTGGCCAAACCTACGGCGTCGGCGTCGGGTGAGGCATTCATGCATGAACTGCGGGTGCATGGCGTGCAGGGTCTATGGTGTGGTGCAGGCGAACATGCTGCAGAGACAGGTACATGCACAGAGCGTGGCTGCTTGGCCTTGGCTGCAGCAGCACATGGTGCCCATGTTTCAATGGCACTCCTTGCCAGCTCCATCCTACTCACATTCCAACCAAACTCACCTTGCCGCTGACCCCTGGGGCCCAAACCCGTCCAGGCTGTACTTCAAGACCCTCGGCTGGCTGCGGCTGCTCTTCCTATGGCTTGCGCTGGGCACAGTCCCGTTTCTGGTCGTCATCACTAGCAGCAAGTTCACCAGCCCGGCCCTTGCCGCGTCGTCCAACACCAGCACCCAGCAGGGGCCGTCGTACAGCTCGGGAAGCGGGGCGGCGGAGGCTGCGTCGTGGGACGCTCCAGAGACCGGGGTGATGGTCTATCCACAGGTGAATGGGTCCCAGCAAATGCGCACTATCCTAGTGGGCGTGGGAAGCCGCTCTGAGCGCAGGCTTGAGCATGGGGAGCCTGCGTCCGGAAGCCTGCTTCGCCCAGGAATAGCTGGGCTGGTCATTCCAACCATGGCGCCAAGCGACCCCTCCATCCCTGCTGCGGCGCTGCATAACTTCCCCAGACCACCCTGTTTTCCTTCACGTTTGCGGCCATCCTGGACTCGCGGATCGACAACGGCATGCTGTCCTGGTGGGCTGGTTCAAGCGTGAGGCAGGCAGCTGTGTTGAGGCAGGAAAAAGCGAGCCTCTCTCAACCAGTTCCAACCCTTGAAGGGATTGAATACCGTCCCCAGTCAGCCCAGTCTTTGAACGGCTTTTGCTGACCAACCTGCACAATCATCCCTGCACAGTCTATGAACCCATCAACACGTGTACACCACCCCACCGCAGGATGAACGTACGGCTGCCAGGCTTTGAAACCATCAATGGACTATGGAAGAGCGACTTTTTGATGTGTGGGTGGCACTTGAAGTTGACAAGAGAGCGCGAAGTCGGAAGGGCTTGTGTGCACACGTGGTGCCTGCATGCAGCTTTGCCTTGTCATGGTGTCACTCGCCAGTCGTATGCATGCATTGCCTAATCCCGGAGCGTCGCTGCCCTGCCCCTGCTCACCACCTCTGAAGCTGGCTCCCAAGCAACTGCCCCTACAACCCCCCATTCCACAGGGATTGCCATTGCCGACGCCATCACCATGGCTGTCTTCATTGTGTTCTGCACGCTGCTGCGCGCCTGGTCGCGGCGTTTTGCCAAGGAGGTGGGGCGCGCGCGCGCACACACACACACACACACACACACACACGCACGCACGCACACACACACGCGCGCGATTGCGCAAGGGGGGGCCCTGCCACAAGCGAGCGCGCAAAGCGTGAGCTCACACACGTGACCACTGTGCTCATAGCCAACCCGGCAATGCTGCAGCGCAAAACCCAGCTTCTCAATCAGCTTGCGAAGGTATCAATAGCAATTGCGTCAACGCTTCACGGCCCATACGCAGGTTGACGCCCATACGGTGGAGGTGGCTGACTATACAGTGGTGGTGAAGGGGCTGCCAGAAGTCGAGCCGACGGAGGTGTGCAGGGCTGGATCGACACACCATCCCCCTCTGGGGGGGGGGAGGTGCACCTTGAAATGCTCCAGTTTTTATGCTAATCGCCATGCACACCTCCTGCGCATGCGCCTCCCCCCCGCTGCGACTGCGCTGCCACTCCCTTGTCACGTTGCATACAGGTCGGGGCGTACTTCTCACGCTTTGGTCGGGTGATGGACGTGGTGCTGGTCAAGGATTTTGGCACGCTGCTCAGCCTGGCTGGGCAGGCGACACTCCTGGGGCAGCAGCACGCGGCTGCAGGGGAAATGCTGGGACGCCACTTCGCCCGTGAGTGGCCACGGTGTGGTGGAGGAGACCGCGGCCCCCAGTCGCGACCGTCTCCTCGGCCAGCAAAAACCATGTCAGTGACTTGCCCCGCCATTGCCAGCCTGATTCACGAGCCCGCCCTGCCGCCGGAGTCTCTTTGACCCCTTGAGCCAAGCACTCTCTCTCTCTACCCTGCCCCCTCGACTTGCTGTGTACCGGCGCTCGCCCCCAGGCGCCTACCAAAAGCGTGTGGTCAAGGCCGAGAAGAAGCTCAAGGACTTCATGGTGGAAGCTGAGGAGGTCATCGACAAGGCGGGGTGTCCTACAAAGGCGATATTTGTCACCTTCAGCACACAGGCAGAGCGCGCCGCCTGCGAAAATGCATGCCCAAAAAGTGAGCGGGCACGCACCAGGCGCCGGGCAGCCGTCAAAGGGCGGCTCGAGACAAAGTCCCCATGCGTCTGTCCTGTGGCAGGTGGTTCGTGCAGATCAACCTCATCAGCGTCCAATCAACTTCCATGCTAGGCCGCGCAAACCATGCCGCCGTTGCAAACCCCGATACCCATCACCTTAGGTTGGCTGTCGTCTTTCTTCCAGCACCGAGATGTACGATTTTTGGGTGCTTTCGGCTTTTGGGTGGAGCAAGCAAAGCCCCCTGAGGATTACATTTACGAGAACCTCAGCTTTGACCGGTTCAACCGCTGGTGCAGGCTGGTGCGTTGCTGTCCAAGTGCAGGCGCTGCTCTTGGCGATGATTCCAACAAGCTGTGCAGTGCCCGTCACGCTTCTGCACACCACAGACATGCTTGCAGCCATCTCGCCCATCCAGAGAGCTTAATCTGCGGTGTCCCTGGTGCGCACGCCCCCACCGCAGCTGCTGTCCCGCGCAGTGGTGGTGGCGGTCCTGCTGCTGTGCGCCGTGGGTGTGACCAAGCTGATGAAGATGAGCCGCGACTCAGCCACAAAGATTGTGTGGCGCCATGACCTACTCAACGAGCAGGTGGGTGTCTTGCTTAGGATACAGCCATAACTGATTGATGGATGCCTGGGCCTGTGGATGCTTGACGTCTGTTGCTTGTTGCTCAAACCAGGCAGACTGTCAAATGAGGATATTGAACCTTACGTTTGATGTGAAAAGGTTCAAGATCAGAGTGCCTGCAGGGCCGTCCCAGGCTCTGACACCGGTGCATAGCCCAAAGCGTTCCGTCACTGAACTGGCGCCGCCCGCAGGTGTCTGCAGCGCTCGCCCCCCTCCCCGCCACTACCAACTCCTCCTGGACCACAAGTGCTGCGGCGGACGCATCCTTTTCAAACGGATATGTCCAGGGCGCCGGCGACTTTTGCGCTGCTGAATTGGAGGGTGTCTGCTCCCAGCAGTGGTCGTTGTGAGCGGCAAGGAGGCAAGGGGCAAGAACGAATGGTCTTGCAGGGGTGAGGGACTCACAACATGCTTTGTTGAGCGCCATCAAGTGACACACCCATTCACAACAAACGATCATGTCTGGGCAAGGTGTCTGACTTGTTTTGCAGACGGGATCAAGGCGCTTTGGCCCCCCTCCGTCCCTATGTGCATTGCTACCACCAGGATGCTGGACTCTACAGTCAATTTCGCACTGACCAAGCAGGTGGAGTGGTCCCAGACGGCAGCCCGCTTCCTCAAGCAGGACAAGCTCATCTCCAGTGGGTGCAGCTTGATGGGCAGGAGTGCTTCTCCTAATGCTTCGACGGCCAGTGGTGGCAGGGCAGGACTCGCTGATGGGACAGGAAGGGGAGGGAGATGCTGGCTTGCAATGATCCGCCAGCTGGGCAGGCTCGCACCTTCCACATGTGCCCCTCCACCCTCACCGGGACCCCTGTGGTTCCTGCAGGCATGTCTGCTTGTGCTAAGAAGGGCGCGGCGTGCGCCCTGTCCTCGTGCTACCCCTGCTACTGCGGCGGCCTCGCGGCCGTCGAGGCTCAGTATGCGGGCGATGGCGAGTGGCTGGACTCTGCCAAGCACCAGTGTGATGTGTATGTTGATTCGTTCGACTGGAGGAGCCTCAGCATCAGGTGCGCTTGCAGCAGTCAAGCTGGTCTGTCGTCTGCATTTCGAAGCTTGATGGAATGAGCCCCCTGAGCAAAGCTCTCCATGTTGAACCCTCAGCTGTGGATGTGACAGCATTCACACCACCCCTTCCGTGCTGTGCCCACAAAGTGCAGGGCAGGGATCTCCGTGTTTGTGGTTGTGATCAACTTGGTGCTCAAGCTTCTGCTGCAGGTGCGTAACGCGGCGTGCACTGCACTCGCCAACGCATGTTTGGCGAGCCCAAACAGATGTGTAATTGAGGAACATGCGGCCAAGCCAAGCCTCTGAGTCGCCTTGATTGCACACTCAACGCCTCCTGCAGCTGCTGGTGACGTTTGAGAAGCACTGGACAAAGAGTGACAAGGAGCGCGCATACGCAGTGGCTGCCTTTGTCAGCCAATTGCTAAATTCCGTGCTGGTGCTGCTGCTGGTCAATGCAAAGGTGCGCATGCTTGACTACGCATCCATCATGTTGCCGTGCAGGGGCCCGGCTCACAGGCGGGCGAGCCCGGGAAGCTTCCATTCTAGTCATTGATCTCGTCAGCTAATCCTGACAAAGCGCATGCTAGCACTCTGTTTTCCTAGCTGGCCGACTGGAACAACATCGCCCACGCTGTGCGACTGGCCCTACCCCGTCTCAGATGGACTCTGTGAGCCGCGCCATCAACTCTGGCCTCACGCGCTCTTCCAGCCCTGGGGGCCGGTGGTTCCAGAACCTCATCCTCGCCGGTTCCTACAGGGACTTTTCACCGGGCTGGTGAGCACTGGGCATGGCCTCCAACTCAAGGAGCCTTTCTCAGGCAGGCCTAGGGGTGAGTCAGCCCAGGGCACCAGCTTGGGCGCTCAATGACAGCCCTCAAAGTCGACACGTCACCCATTGACAGCAGGGCGGCACCATCGTTGTGGTCGACGATTGACGCTTGCCACCAGCCATCAAGCTCGCTGCCTTGATGCAGCGCGTTGCGGCGCAACGCAATGCGTGGGGATGACGGCGGTCGCACGCAGTCACTGTCGGCGTTCCTGCTTTACTCCCTGCAGGTACGAGAATGTTGGCCTCTCAATCTTCATCGTGGCCGTCCTCAACGTGGTCCTCACCCCCGGCTTTGCCATCGCGTTCTGGCTGCTGCGCAAGCTGAAGCAGCGGTGCCTCACGCGCTGCGTGCAGACGGCGTCGCAGGACATGTACAATGGTGCATGGATAGGGGATGAGTTCCTGCTGGACTACCGGTGAGTGCATGGTACTTTTGGGGGCCGTCTGAGGTTATTCGGTGATGATGACACGCAAGGTCTCCTTGCTGTGCCGGCCATGGACAGCAGGGGCAAGGGCTGATTCAACACCACAGATCTGCATGTGTCTGGCTGCTTGCGCTTGGCCTTGTCAATTGGTCGATCCGTCGCCTGCTGAACCTGCCTGATGGAACAGGGTGTGCGACCAAATGCTGAACCTGTGGCTGCTGCTGATGTTTGGCTCGGGGTGAGAACGGGCAGCATGGCCGCACTTGTGACAAACACCACTGCCTACCGCCAGGCGAAGCCATTGAATCTGTCGTGCCAGCCAGTACGCATGTGCCCCTGCGCACCCCCGCGTACGTACCTGCTGACTGGCAGCTTACGCGCCCAGCTGCTAGCATCAACCTCAGCGCTCAACACCTCAACAGGATGCCGCTGCTGTACGTGATCGGCCTGGTGTGGCTGGTCGTGATAGAGCTGGCAGACCGCCACGCGCTCACCCGCCTGTGCCGGCGGCCCGTCAGATACGGCCCGCGACTGCCCTACCTGCTGCTGGGTGCGGGGGGCGACCCGGACGCATCCACCACACACTGCTGCATGCGACGCTCCTCGGGATTCCAGGTCCCCTCGAGTCGCGTATGGTTGAACCACTTCTACAATTGTAGTGCGTGCACTCCGCGCCAGAGCGGCCCAACACCAGAATTACGTGGTTCGTCACTTACGCACATGTGCACACGCACACACCTGCAGACGTGCTGCCCTGGGCGGCAGCGTGCCACTGCGCGTTTGGGCTGTGGATGCACACCTACTTTGCAACCGAGGGCGGCAATCTGTCATCGCTGGTCAGCGCTGACAGCTCCAGCGCGCTCGTGGCATACGTGGCACGCAGGTGAGGCCAGAGAAAAGGAGACATGCCCGTTGAAAATGGTTAGATCTTAGTTCGTCGGAGAAAAGTACGGCCATAATCCAGAGAGACGGCTGCACTGCAATCAGAGGGTGCTGCTGCTGCCCGCCGCTTCCCCACATATTGCCAAATCCTCACCGCCCCACCTGTACTCCCCGACTGCCGACCCTTTCCCAACTCTGCCGCGCACCCTGTGCCCTGCGCCAGCTTTGTGTGGGCGCGCATCACGCAGGTCAACGGCCTGCCGCTGCTGTGCCTGCTGCTGGTCCACGTCCTGTTCTTCTTTGTGCTCAGGTGGGCTCGGGCAGAGCGTGTAGCGCCAGCCTGGCGCTATGGGGTTGGGGGCCACCCTCGCATCCAAGGCTGCACTCCGGTGCGACCTCGGCACACGTCGCCACGGCTTGATGTCTGTCCACAATCCTGGATTGTGAAGTATAAGCAGAGAGTCAACGTCAGATGACTGCCGCCGCTGAATCGCAGTGGCCTGGTGTATGTCGTCGTTGGGCGCACCCTCGAGGCCCTCTGCGGCTGCAAGATTATCGCCTGTGCCAGCAGCGGCGGCAGCGAGATGCTTCACCAGCCCGTGTCCTTTGGAGACGCCCTCGCAGGCAGCGGCGGCATCAAGCTGTGTGGTGAGCAGCGGAACCCGGTTCATGACCGACTCGCTGCCCAGCCCCCAGGCCTGATACTCCCTTTGCATCTTACCAGTGTTTGCAACACTCTCCCTTTCAAGAGAAATGCCGTGCGCTCAAGCCACCCGCCCGCATCTAAACCAACACACAACTGCCCTCCTCCCATACCGACACCCCCGACCCCCCACCTTTGCCCCTCGCTTCCCAGGAACTCCCACGTACCGCATGCCGCGGCACCCCATGTACAAGGACATGTTTGCCAACCCCATGTACAAGCCGCTGTGGTTCAAGGCCTTTGGCCTCTCCTGCTACACCCGGCTGGTGGGAGCACTCTGCTGCACCATGCCGCACGCAAAGCCGCAGTGCCAAAAGCCCAGCGGTGCCCAGCGCTCACAGCCGGCTGCCTTGCACATCTGTGCGATCAGCGGTGTGCCAGATCAGCGAGTCTGATCGCGCCTTTCGCAAATTGCAGGTGTCGCGCAAGGGTGGTTTCCTGGTGACGGTCGACCCGGTGCTGCAGCACCGCACCGAAGACCTCGAGGAGACGATAGCACAGGTGCGCACATGCGCAGAACTGTGTGTGTGTGTGTGTGTGTGTGCGCGCGCGCGCGCGTGTGCGCGCACGCACATGCACGCGCCCGGACACGTGCGCACGCGGCAGCGTTCATACGTGTGCATGCAAGGGCGGACAGATGATGTTGGCAGTGCAACGGAGCGTGTCAGGAGGGTGAGCGCTGATGCTTGAGGGCACAGTTGGCAAGGGGTCGTGCGGAAAAAGTAGAGTTGGCAGAAGAAAAGGCGCATCTGCATCAGGCAGTCTGACCTCCATTGCCTCGCCCTATCCACGCCGCGCAGATGTCTCCCGAGCTGCAGGCCGCGGTGCGCAAGCTGGCCGAGGGAGGCGACGAGGGAAGCCTGATATCCAAGGTGCGGGGGACAGCGGCGTCTGCCATTCTGCTGGTCAACTAGCGTGCACCTCCCCGCATGAAGTGTCCTTGAACTCCCCCGGCCAGGCCCTTACGTGTTGTACAGCGCTCTCCCCCCTTCCCTGCGTGTGCGCGACTGTGTGGTTGGCTCACCCTTGTGCATTTTCTGGCTTCACCACGACCCTCGCTGCTGCACCTGCAGGGCAGCAGGCGTGGATCCCCCAGGGTCAGCAGCGCAGGGGGCTCCCTGGTCAGCAGCCCAGGCCCCAGCGGCGGGGGCGGTCTGAGGGTCGAGGTGGCGGCCCTCGCCGGCTACGACACAACCGCCTTTGACGGCCACAGCCCAAGTAGTGGCGCATCCCCGGTGGGGCCGTCCTTCACGGGCGGGCAGAGGACGAGCCGCCTGGCGCCGCAGGGGGCCGGCGGGCCGGCGCGTCTCCAGTCGATGAGCCTTGCTGCGGTGGCAGGTGTGCTGTAGGGGGCGAGGGGTCAGGAAGGCGGAGCGTGGTCTGCTTGCAAGGTGCATTTGCTGCTCTAAGAACTCTGCTGCTCGCCACTGGTGTTGCACAATCACATACCGCTTCTTCGTCCTCACCAACCCTCCTGGCAGGATCGGGCGGCAGCTACACCTCAGCACGAGGACAAAGCTTCTCGGTGGGCGGCCCCGCCAATGGTCCCTTTGGCCGTGCGCTGTCTGCCTCAATGCCACCTGTTCAGGGCGTCGGTTTTGGTGCTCTCAGTCAAGCTGACGAGGTTGCCATGTCCACCGCCTTGGCTGATGTGGGCGCCGCTGGTTTTGGCGTTTTTTACAGCCCTGATGGGTTTGGATTCATCACACAGCAGCAGCAGCAGCGGCAGCAGCAGCAGCAGCAGCAGCAGCAGCAGCAGCAGCAGCAGCAGCAACAACGAGGCTTCCTGGGCGCATCGCCGCATGACATGTGGGCAAATGCAGACGCGGCGATGGCCGCGCCGCAGCTGAAGGAGATGCGTTTGACCGGATTTGACCACGAGGGTTGCTTCGCGGAAGCCCCAGAGATCGAGCCGGGAGGCAGCTCCCCCTCTGTTTCGAGTGACGAGCTGCGACGAGTGCCACAAGACGCCACCACTGAGATGCCAGGCGCGGCTGGGGGCTATCCGGAGGTGCAGCCAGAGCCGTGGGAAGAGGCGCGACAGCTGAGCCAGCAGCACGGGTGGGACGGGCATCCCGCTGCTGGCAGCACGCAGGCTGCAGGCGGTGCAGGCTGGCTCTGGAACGGCGCCATGGCGGCGGCCCAATTTGTTGGCTCGACGCATGTCGCCCCAGGTGCGCCGCGTGGTGATTTCCATGGTAACAGAGCGCAACAGCACGTGTTGATGATCACAATCACAACGATTGATGGTTGGCTGCTTGAATGCCCCACAACCATGATCCAACCACCCTGAAACTACACCACAATAATTGCAGGGTCGCCCCCTCCTGGCCACGGGCTCATCGCGAACGCGCCCACCCGCGCCCCCGCCGCCATAAGCCTGACCGGCGGCGTCGCGCTCGCGCCACCGCCCAGCATGACCTGGGGCGCGTTCAACCTCGGGGCCGTGCTGAGCAACGACGATGGCGGCGGCTCCACCTCTGCTGCAGCAGGGTTTGACTACCCCAACATCAAGCTCACCACGGTGGAGGCACCGGCGTTCATGCCCAGCCTTCACAAGGACGCTCCCATGCCTGGGGGACTCAACAGGCAGGCCATGCGCACGGCGCCCCTAGCTGCGGCGCCGGCGGCCGGAGGAAGGCCCGCGGTGGCCGTGCAGCCGGCCCAGGAGCCGGCGCAGGTGCCGGCTGCCTCCTCCCCTGGGTGGCTGCCACTTGGGCCGGTGCCCGTGCCTGCAACCGCAGAACTGGGCCCTGTTGCTGGTGCACCCGAGGCCCCGGCGCCTCCTGCGCCGGGCGCCGGCTGGGCGGGTGGCTCGCCTGGGCTGGCCGGCACCTGGGAGGCGTCTGCCGCTCGCACGGTGGCGCCATCGAGCACGTCGGCGGCGGGGCCCCCGCATCCTATGGCGGGCTGGATGGCGCCTGATCAGCCGCAACAAGCGGTGGCTGTGCCAACGCCCGGCTTGGCGACGCAGGGCCCAGTGTCGGGGGCACAGGAGCATGGTGACAGCTGGGCCGGCGCCTGGGTCGGTCCCGGCGCGCCGCTGGGCGTGGCTGTGGCTGCGCTGCTGCCGGGTGTTTCGGCTTCAGAGGTTGAGTTGGAGGAGCGGGGCCGGCAGCACGCAGACAGCGCCCCCCGCAGGTGCAGCAAGAGCAGCGGCAGCAGCAGTAGCAGCAGCAGCGGAGGCGGCAGCAAGCGCGGCGCGAGCACGCCTGAGCCGGCGACGCCGCGAGGCAGCGGGGCTGGCTCCGCGGGTGGGGCCAAGGGTGGCAAGAAGAAGAAGAGGAGGCGCAACAAGAAAAAGAAAGGGAAGGGCCAGTGAGAATTTGGGGATGCGTGCGCCCTGTGGGGTGAGCACTGCAGCCATCTGCCTGGAACGCGCTTCCTGATATCTTTGCCGCCTTTGCCAAGCAACTTGCTCTGTTCCGCTGCTATGGTTCCTTTCACTGTCGAAGCACTAAGTGGCGGGGCTGCAATTTGCAATCGATGCGTCGGCTTCCATAGCACCACGCACTCAGTGCCTGCTTGGGTCCAGGCAACCGCCTTGCACTCTGTAATCACAAACGTGCTCTTACTACACCCCCGCCCACAAAAAGGCTCAACCGATTGCGAAAAAATACTAGATGCCAATGCAAAAATACAGCTGGGCGAAAAAAGACAGGCGTACGTTGACATCACTGCCAAATCAAGCACCGCCAGCACCAGCCTCCCCACCAGCCCCTCGCAGCTCTGCCAGGCCACCTCCACTCCCTAGGCGGCGTGCTGGCCACCCAACCCCATGGTCAACCAAACCCAGCTGCTGCTTTGGGAGTTCCCTGCCACCAAGAAAAGGGGGCATACAGCTCCAAACCAAGCAAGGCGGAGGGCAAGAGCTAGACGCATATCAGGGGGCGGCGCCGTTGCTCGCCCCGGCCCCCTGCCGCTGCCGCTCCTCTGACGCACGCTGCAGCGCCATCAGCAGCTGCGAGCCCACTGGAGCCGACGGGTGCGGCTGGCGCGGCTGCGCGGGCGCTGGCGCAGGGGCGGCGGCGGCGGCGGCGGGATGGCCCGGGTTGGCTGCGGCGCTGCTGAGCAGCTGCTGCAGGAGCCCGCTGCCCTGCGACGCGGGCGCCTGCGCCTGCAGTACCTGCTGGGGGGCGGAGCCTGCGCCCTGCAGCTGGGAGAGGAGGAGCGCGCCCGGGCCAAACCCGGGCGGCGGCTGCAGCGCCGGCGCCGACGCCAGTGCGGGCGTCGGCGCCGGCGCGGCGGCGGCCACCGGCTGCTGCTGCTTCTGGGACGCGGCCCGCAGCAGCTGCAGGATGCCGCCGCCGCCGGGTGCGGCCGCCGCGGCCGACCCGTTTGCGGCGGATGCGGCACCAACTGGCGCCGGCGGCGTTCCGGGCGCCGAGCGGGGCGCGCGCTGCGGCGCCGCAGTGTCGTCGCTGAGGCGCGCGG